GGGGTGTGTGGGGGTGTGTGTGTGCATTCATTGCAGGTAAGCTTGAGTTGGATTCTATTTCTCCCAGTGCATCATTAGGAAATGGTATAAAAATACCATACAAGGGTGTTTGGCAATGTCTTTGCACCTCTCCCAGCCTTTCACCTGTCCATTGGCCCCACTCACTGGAATAGCCATACACCACACAGGAGATTTGTCTGGTTTTCTGGTTCACTTCCATTGTTCATCCCCTAACCCTCTCCTCATTTGATTGCCTCTTTATACCCTTCTCTAGAAGGAGTTAAAAGGAGCCTGCAGTTCGGAAACCAGACAAAACTCCGTTGTGCTGCAGCCTAATCTGCATCGCAACACGCTGTTCGCACACCGTGACTGAGGAAGTAACCAACAGCCTGCACACCTGATCCAGTGTCCTTTGAAAGAAAATGAAGGACATGTCCCTGCCATGCTCTGGGTTTCCACTGAAGGGATTCTTGGCAAGGCTGAGACGATTTCTAGTTAGCAGAATGGTTATAGTTTCTGATGGCCTCGATATGAAAACAAGGGTTGTAGCGGAAATCTTTTATGCCTTTAACAGCCGGAGTAATTTAATGCCATAGTAAACGGAAATTCTTCTAAGGATTCTGCTAGTGATTTTCATTGGCCTCTGTCCCCAACTGCTCTTTAAATTGGAGCTGGGTGTCTCAGCTAACATAACACAAGAAGCTCGGGTTATCTTCACAAAAACATGTCAATCATTGACCCTCCCTTCCTGTTGTCATTGGAGAATTCCTCTGTGAAATGGAATAGGTCTGGGAACACTGAAGGAGACATGGGCTACCTTGTGCCTCCTTTTATTAGAGCTGGCATGAATTTCAAAGTGAGTGTCTATAAACCGGAGAAAGGTTTGAGTGTGCTGTACTGCAGTTCCATCAGAATGGGCTAATCCTTCCAGTAATGAGGACAAACACATCCCTGGGGCAAAGACCAATGGAGGGCAGCTTTCATTTAAGAAATGGAGGTCTAGTTGCTGTTGTCTGATGCCAAGGATCAGAACTTGGATTTCACTTGGAAGATTTCACACAGTGCCAGATTTGAAATAGGCTCATTGGAATATTTGCTGAGGACGGGGAATGTGGATTGAGTTTTGAGTGAACCTGCAACAAGTTTCAGGTACCACTGGGAGTTAAAGTTGCAGCTTAAAACAGTCAGAAACTTAGTGGTTTTGACCCAAACTAGGTGGCGAGAATCATATTAAGAATTTTGAGTTAATTCACCTGAAACTTGCAATGCAACCTGAGGCGTGAACCCACAAAAACAGACCAAAAGAAAGCACTCATACAACCTTCACCATATTCCCTTGAACTGAAATTGTCAAAGTTTGCACTTCTCTAATCAACGGGTCATTATCAGTATTGTGCTTAATAGAAAAAAAAAAAGTGCAATTTTTCCTTAAAGACACTAGACCCAGGGTTGTTCCCAATCAAACGATTGCTTTCAGGCTCAACTTGGGCAGAAGGGGATAGAACTTGATTTTTACATAGCACTTCTCATGCTTAAGGTATTGTAATAGGACTTCCAAAGCCACAAATTATTTTGAAACATCCTGGGATGTGTTGTTATAATGTGCAGAATAATTTAATGCAGTCAGTAGTGCCTAGCTCCTGAGTCAAAGCAAGGGGATAACCGAGAGTCTTCTGCTCTGAGAAAAGCAGGTCAGAAGTCTCCGGGCAGGGAGTTCCAGAAAGAAGGGCTATACTGGGACTCAGGGGGTGGTGCTTGACGATGGAGGGGGCAGGAGGAGTGACCAAATCAGAGCAAGATTCTGCAGAGCTTTGTAGGTCAAGGGGAGCATCCAGGAGCTTATTTAGAGTCTGTGACTGGTGTGGCTATTGTAATTACCAGAAGTGGATTTGTGCATCAGCTCAGTCTGGTGCCAGTTAGGAAAAACCTAGTAATAAAATGCTTCTTTAACAAGGGGTTCCTGTGAGCCCTCCTGACTTTCCCCAGCAGCTATTAGACTCTTGAATGCACCACTGTTAATCACAAGCTCTCCTGGCAGACAAGGCATAACTCAGCAGACCCAACTATATGCCAGCTCTACAGGATAAGCAGCTTGCAGGCTTTAGGCTCCTGTTGTGGGGCTATGTTATGTAAACTAACTTACATACACTGTGGTGTTAATATATAAAGTAGCAACTGGCAACAGGAGGACGCGGTGTGGTGCCCGACATTCTGCCTACTCCCTGCAGCAGCAGTCTGTATTTGCCTGCTGACTGTCTTTACAGGCAGGTGTTCTGACCACTGATGGCTAAGAACGTTCAGAGGAGTCCAGCCTGTCTTTGAGGCTGGGTGGAGACTTTAAAGGTCCAGAGGGCTGCTAGGAACCCAGCTCCTCTTGACTTACAAACTACTCTCTGTGACTGAAAATTTGCCCCTTAAACTGTGTACAGACTGCTCTGTTGCATACTTATTGCCACAGATCCTACTGCTATTGGCTCGTTGCATCAAGGCCCTTCTGCTCATCAAATTAAAGACATTGCATTGCTAGGATGTACTTGTGGGCCCAGTTCTACAATCCAGTTGGTAAAGTTGAGCATGACTTAAATTATGCTAATTATTCCATAGCCATCAGTGGGGACACCTGGGTAAGCAAGTAGCACTTAGCATGAAGAGCTGTAGAATTTGACCCTATACAACTTACTTACGTTTGTACCTACAGTGTATAACTCAGCAAACAGTGGGCAAGGACTCTAGGTGGAGTAAATGAGCACACTTGATTTTGATGGCACTGCACTGATTTACACCAGCAGAGTATCTGGCTCAATATATTTACACTATCTATAGCAAGAATTCTGTTATTCCTAAGGAGCTTTATATCCCATATGGTGACTTAGTAAATAAAATATTTTTAGTATTAGGTTGTGTTTTGTTTTGTTTTTTTAACCAGGTGTGATGTAAACACAGCTTAGTGTGATTTTAGGATGATGGTATCCATGCTAGTGGAAAATTCAAACTGCCTTTTTAACATCTGATGAGTTTCCAGCATCCAGCAACGTCCTAAGACAGTGGTTTTCAACCAGTGGTCTGCAGACCATGTCTAAGATTTCCAAAGGGGTCCACAACTCCATTTGAAAGTTTTAGGGGGTCTGCAAATGATAAATTGAACACCACTGTCTAAGAAATTGATTACGGCACTCTTTGTGCATGTGCTAAACACTTCAGTCTTGGGCACAGGCAGAGCACAGCTACAGACACCGTAATGCAGTACTTCAGAGGGGCGGCTTGGGGGAAAAGCTGTAGAAAAACTGAAGGTTTTTCTTTACTACTGACAGCGCAATCAAATGGAGATTGTGTTTAAAGTCACCCCTTCTGTTCTCAGCCTATCAGGACGGCAAGGCTCCAGAGGGCAGGATGGGCTTTCTCTGTCCTTTATTTCTACTGGTCATGAATTGGCTTTTCCCATTTGTCCTTTCAGAACAGTTTTGAACATTATGTACTTAGAGTGCAAGTACTTTGGGGCAGGAACCATCCCTGACTCTCTTTTGCAGGAGCATCTAGAGCCCCCAGCCAAACTAAATGGTCCTGTCTCGTTTTTATAGTCATTTAAATAATCCAGGAACTGACTGAAAGTGTGAGCAAACCATTGTTTTTTTTTGTTTTGTTTTCCCTGTTCCCCACAAACATAGGGTTGTATTTCCTTGGGGAGTGGGGATCCCTCTGTCTCAAACACTGAAGACAATGGGTTTGATGCTCTACTTTGTTACATTTGAGGGCACTTACACTAGTGTTAAAGTAGTGTAATGGAATAAAGAAATGGCCCACAGGGCCTGATTTCTGATTATACTTACACCAATGTAAGCCTCGAGTTCACTGTAGTCACTACTGATTTGCATCATTGAGAGGAGAGAAATGGACCCAAATAACTCCTCCCCTCCTCCAAATTACTTTAACAAAATGTCAATACTTTAGCAAAAGTCATTCTGGGGAGTGTAAAAAAGTCAAATGAATATGGGGTCATGATGGAACTCTGATATGTGGTTTATGGCAAAAGGAAAACACATGGTTTGTTTGTTGATTTACTTGTATAACTTAGGTTTGAGCAAACCAGACTATCCCCAAGTTATGCAATGGCGGGCAGGGAGTGCTACGATAAAAGTGATTCTCAATCTATTATCACTGATAGGCGCAAACAGTTTTCCCATACCATGAATATTTCCTTATTCTGAAGGGGGCGGGGGAAGAGTCAATCTCAAAGTCATTTTGATAATTTCAAAACGTTCCAGTTGATCTTGACTTTTCAGTTATTTTTTCAGTGGAATTAGCTTTTCAAGTTGAAATTTGTTGAACCCTAATGCTGTTTTCACAAAGAATTTTGACTAATCAGGGACTTGGTTTTTGGTTTTTTTGGATTGAAAAATTCCTGACCAACACTACTGCTGGGAGACTTTAAAACTCATTGCTATGTCAATAGTAATGGAGTCAGTAACATCTTGAGGCTATTTGGTGGCCTGTATGAGAGCAGCTGGCATTCAGTCTGATTCTTGGTAGCCATGTGCAAGACACAAAAACTATCTTAATAATTAGAAGTTAGTGAATGAAAATCTTGCTCCTAGACATGGCCTCTCCAGACATAGGGGCGGAGTGCTATGCAGAAGCTCACACTGTGCTTGCCTATGCTGAACCTGTTCTGCAGATACCCTGTGGTTTGTTGTAGTATAGAATATTTTATATGGAGTCTATACTGAAAGATTCTTGTTTTAAAGTGTCCTAAAGGGATGATGATTCCATCATATTAAAGCACATTATTAAAACTCTAAGGGCCATATCTTCCTCTATCAATGCTGATTTACACCAACTGAGGATCTTGGCCTAAGTTTCACAATAACTGTTTATCTCCATGAGCCTAAAAATGGGGTAATTGCTGTCAAACATTTTGCCCAGAAAGGATAAACACATTTCCCTGTGCATACTAATAATCTTTCTTTAATGAAGTAACTGAGAGAATCACAACAGAAACGAACAAATGCATAAAGTTACTTTATTTTCAGTACACATTTAATTTTGAAAAATATAAATGCTAAAATATCTCATCTTGTTCATCTCTTGATTCCATAAAAGTCACAATAGAAAGCTTCATAAAACTGTAAAATACTATACTGTTAGAAGGAATTTCATGTTTTATATTACTGGAAAAAATCATTAATATATTGAAATGTTTTCTGTTTTTTTTCCTTTTTGTTCCACCATCTTGATCTACTTCATTTTAAAATAAGTTTTTATTCTCTCCTCCAAAGCAAATACAGACTTAAGAGGATTAAAAATAATACAAGTATCTGAAAGTGCGTGTTGATTCCAAAAATGTAATGAATACATATATGTATCAGCCATAGGAATGGCTACAAAGATGAGACAATCACCAGTTGTTTCACATTGTAGGTCTGGGACAAAGTTATCTGTAGTTTTTTTTTAAATATTAGCCCTGAGTAGCAGGTTTGTAAGTGTTGTTAGAAGCTCATCTAATTAAGGGTGCTCATTGATTTCAGTGGACTTTAATTCAGCCCCTAAAAGCACTCTCAAACCTTCTCCCCCACCCCGATTTTTTTCTGACATAATTGCTATTTATTGTCACAAGGCTGAAAAAGTGCAATGAAATGCTATTTCATGAGACCCTACATAGGCTATCAAAGGGCCACTTTGCTGCATTTCACCTTTTGGAGCAAGCAGGTCTTTTGTTCGTTTGAAACAAACAAACAAACAACCCTTCAGTTTAGTGTTCTGTCGTGAAAAGTCCCAAGCTTCTGCCACAAAAGAATTGTGTGTATATAGATGAGAAAAATACCAACTTTTTTTGGTCCCATCCCCAAACAATGTCGCTCTCTCTGCATAAGAGCTCAATCAGAAATCAGCAGTCAATACATTTCAAGTACATTTTAACATGGTTCAAAAGTGGAAGACCTCATTTGCTGGAGATGGATTACCAGGTAATAGCAAATGTAAATATTTGCTCTGTTGGGGGTGTGAGACAGGAGGGTGCATTGTAAGCCGTTCTTTCTTCAGTGCTTTTCTAAAGAAATCCGCTGTTGTCCAACACTAATTTCAATCGTTCCTCAGCCAGCACATTTGCGTTTCTCTAAACCAAAATCCTACACATGCATACATGGCTCTGTTGTTTCACATTATAGTGGGTTGTGATTTTTATAGAGGAATGAAAGTGTTTTATGTTTTAAATTAACACAGCACAACCCTGATTATCCATCCTCCAGTTAGCTGAAGGCAGTATACACTCCCTTCCTGGTTTAGATGTCACTTAGGAGAATCAGGGCTGGACTGTTTACAGTATGCTGATCTGCCAAGGAAGAAATGCTGCATTTCCTTCCGTTTGTCAAACTTTCCAAGTGACAGCAAATTACTCTTTATTTTGTCCCTCTAAAGCTGGACTGACCATGGACTGGAATTTAGATCTGATATTGGATGGGGAGGGTGTACATTTGTTTTTTAAATGCTGATGTAAGGTGGGCTGCTGTATTTGGCATTTCTTTTTAATGTATTTACCATCCCTCCCCCCACTATGTATAATATTGTTGCTAAACATGATACACTGCTGGGTTATAGGTGTAGCGCTCAAATAATACTAGTGACAGTGGGATAAGAAGGGGCTGGTTTGTGGATGGGTGCAAACTGCTGTAGCTTCAATAGGGCCAGGCTGCAATTATTATGGTCCATATTTCTGATGTCTTTCAATACAGCATTTTATTTAAAAATAACATTTCCAGAGACTTCTGTAGCACATTTGGACAAGAGAAAAACCCCTCTACTATGCCTGTGGTGTGGCTTGGGAGGCTAAAATTTGGCATATCAGGTCTCAGTACTATCATGACATTTATGTTTACGATGGGCTGTGTTCTTTTCATTACAGCTTTGTAGGCTAGTAGTCCTCTTGCAGCAGTTTCATTTCCCCTGAGGTACAAAGTGTTAGAAAGTAGCTTGTGGGGGCGTACAATTTCTTTTAAAATGCATATGGTATCAAATATTGGGCCAGCCCCTTAAAGCCAGTAAGAATAAACTCAGCCCACAGCAAGACCCCCATAGATTTCAACAGGAGCAGGATTGAGCAGCTGCACGCCATCAAGGGCTAGGGGCCAATAAAAGTGGAGTGCCAATCCCCAGATTTCTTGACCTTATAAAAGTCTCTGCCTGCAACAGTACTATCTGGTGCCAAGTCTCCGTAACAAGATGCTGTCGACTGGGTCAGCATTTCCTTACTGAGTGAAATTCCCCAAGAGAAGAGAGGGTTGGAGGTGAAAGATATGCATCTGACAGTGGGGCCCTGACCCTTGAAGGAACAATGGAGTGGAAATTCCTTTGACTTAATTGGGCAGTTGATCAGGCCCTGAAAGTGGAGCAGACCCCTAGCTGAGTACCAACTAAGTCCTATCCCTGCACTGGGATGATTTCCCCCAGGGAAGATAAATGATGCCTTGACTGTGTGCTACATTTAATGCACATCCAAAGCAATGGAACCTTGTCAGACAGTCACCTGGATAAATTTCAGTGTAATGCCCAATTTCCAAAATGGTTTGAGTTTTTTTAATCCTCTATTCTTTAAAGTATAGACCTTTGCCTACTTTGCTTGTGAACAAACAGACAAATGCGTGTGGATATTGTATCTATTTAAAAAGATGCATTCTAAATGGTATCTTTGTCATTGTGGATTCTAAGTTGTAAGGAAGTAGGGTAAGTTCTATACACAATGGTGAATGGATCTGGGGGAGTACAGTTATCTGCATTCAGAGTGTAGACCGATTGGTGGCTTTCCTAAGTAAGTAGGAAATGTTATGGATATATATCCTGATAAGTAAGATTAAAAACTATCTTCCCCTTAACCATATGATTATGGTGTCCATGCTGTATTACATGCAGATGTGTACAGCCACACACACACACACGTCTGTACATGAAATAATTCTAACCATACTGCATTGGAAAGCAACAAAATTAATACAATCAGCACATCAGTTATTGCCATTAAATGTAAGTCTCTTCCTAAACCACACAAGAGTTAACTTACATCCTGTCACCTTCATGTACAGCTAGAGTCTTTAAAAACAAATTAACAAACGGAGGCTTCAGATGCAAGGTATTATTAAAACTGATCCAGCCCTATGCCATGACTTGGAGATTGTGTAATTTTTGTAAAAATCACATATTGTACAATACATTTTTACAGAGAGCCTGGCATCTAGAAATAAGAGGTAGAACTACTCCAAACTATGTTTCCTGCTGCAGGAAAAATTCATTTTTCTTTACAGTAATTAAAAAAAAGTTTAAAAAAATTGACAAAAGTTGCAGGTTAGGCCCCATAATTTAAACAAAATAATCTAGGAAAATAACACTCTTCAGTGTACCTGACAGATAAGTCCATTAAAGTGTTTTAAAACAAAAAGTTGCATAGGAAAGGGACATTTCAGAACACAAGCTACGACGCTGGCACTGGTTTGTCTGTGCTGGGAGTGAAGTACCTTTAAGAGCAAGTTAGTGTAGCAGCACTGTCCAGTAGTGTAGTAAAGACATTGAATTAGCCTGGAGGTCAGTTTTGTTCTGCCAGACAGAAAAGACACACTGATTCACAACTAAGATAACGTCAGTTCCTCTGACATTTCACAAAGGTATTTATAATATATCCTTAATACGTCTGCCCTCTGCTTAAAAAAATGAGAGATGTGTGTGTGTCTGAGTGATAGAAGGCAAGGTATAGTGTGTTTCAGATTTACCTATGCAGCAGAGAGCATTTTAATATTTGGCTGGTGACAAAAAAAAATTGAACAAACAAAAAAAGTTACAAAGTAGTTTCTGTTCCCCTGCTCCTCCAGAAATAACCATTGTCTTCAGGCTCAAGTTCTATTCTAATTTGAGGCACAACTTTCACTGGAGTTCGTGGAGGGCTGAATGCAAAAAGAAAAGAAGGTAAAAACATATGGACTGAATTTGTTTCTAGTGCATTCTGAAAGGGTCAAGTGATTTCTCCCCAACTCCTTCATTACAGAATACCACTGCTGCATTATTAGTGCATGCAACTATTGACAAGTCACATGAGAAAACCTTAACTTTCATTGGGGAAGCTTAAGCATTATTTGGCCAGTAAGAAGTAAAATGTTGTTAGTCTAGGGGATGAATATTCAAGTCTCACTGAATTCAGAGGACTACATTTCTGAATATTGTATTATGTCTATTCAACAGCTCAAATATTCAGTGGTGGCTGCGGTCTGTGGTATGTATTCCTAGCACAATCCAACTTGGGGGCTTGATCCTGCAAGAAGCTAACAATTCTCCTGCACTGAATAATTAGAGATAGGTGTGTAATGAAATTAAATATACATGAGACCCATCATGTCATGCAGCAGCCTTTTATTTTAACCACATAAAGAGATCACTTGCTAATCTTTGGGAATTCTTGGACAAAATCTCTCACCAGCAGCACTGGGCTCAGAACCATGCTACTGCAGCCATGTTTAAAGAGGGTGATGGTTAAGAGTTTTTAATCACAGTTCCCACTCTGGTGTGGACAGGATTTTTTTCATCTTGGAAACCTGTCTGTGGCCCGAGTTTGGTCAAGTACATACTCCTTAAACTGCAGCATGTGTGTAAGTACCTGGCTGAATTGGGGCATATGAAACTCATGTTACAGACTATTTCTTCATGGGCTATCCCACAATCTGCTGCTGCGCTCATAGCACCTGTGTAAAGTGCTTGTGACCACCTCACTCCCCTGAAACCCAATCCTGGAGCAACCTCACTACAGCAGGTGGCTCCATTGCTAGTGAAGGTGTTTGGGAGGGAGGAATGTTAGGCAGTACTGCTTGGGCCACCCTCCTCCTGTTCTGGAGAATGCTCTCAAAGATATGAAGGAGAGGCATCACCATTTCCCAGATGTCTGCGCCTACTAGGCATGAGCACCCATGGAGATAGATGCAGTTAAACAGCAGCAAGTATCTCAGCTTTCTTACGGTGGTCTGGCATAATTCCTTACTGGTACACAGTCTGTCTCGAGACACAATTCTAAAATTTAAAGAAAATCCTATCTGTCAATGAGACTACTTTTGCGGCAACAGTTGTTTCAGGGTAATGACAAGTTCCTCAAGGTCCCTCTGCTAAGCTATAGCAACTCAGCTGTTATTATTTATGTGTCCTGATACAATTAAGTGAATGGGAACTGGACTGAACCCCACACAGATTTTTATTTTTTTTGCCCTACTACGAAGTGAGCCTCCCTTTCAGCCTGGATCTATCATATACCTCATGAGAGCCACACCTCCATTGTATTTACTGAGCATACAGTACATCTCATGAGACCATGCTGAAGAAGCACCTACCTTGGCAGTGTGTGTGACTGAAGGAAAGGAATTTTATCAGCACGATGTATGGCGTTCAAGGAATGTTGGTGATTTTTCTCCTGTTTAAGAAAAAAAAAGTCTTTTGTCACAGCATTCAGCCATTATAAATATGACGTTCCCCCTCTAGCAAGTCCCCAAATATTAAACCATGGAATTTCACAGATTCCTAAAAAGCATGGAAGACATCAGCTGAATCAAGCTAACACACAGTCAATTCGAGGGGGAAAACCTCTGCCATCAGTGGGACACAAAACGCTAATTTTCAAACGTTGTCACTTAAACTGCAACCAAAACTTGCCTCTGTGCATGTAAAGAGGTAGACATCCAATACCACTACATGTGTATTTCATTGGCCCAGCACGGTTTGAAATTTCACCTCTAACGTTCTGACCAACCAAATATAGCATGAAAACTCACTCCATACTTAACCGGAGGGTGGTGTAGTTAGGGCTACAGAATTCAATTTTCATAATAATGTGGATTTTACAGTTTTTTTCCCCAACTTTTATTGATTTAAATTCGTGGAAAATTATAGGAGGGTCAGAATAATTTAATGACCGCAAACATGAAGGTGGAAAAAAATTAAAGCTTTGTAACTGTTAAGACGCAAGTTGTCAACATCCCCTGTCAAAGTGTACAGAGTAAATATCCTTAAAGCAAACTAAGTTCTCAAGCAGCATTTTCCTTACATCGCCTAGCTGCAAATTTCAGTTATCAATGGAAATAATTATTTGTTGGTTTGTGTGTGTGTGGTGAAAACTGATGAACCTCATCCTTCTGGATGAATTAAATATTTGTGAACATGCTGCAGAAGTTCCAAGTATTATTTATATTATACTTTGGAACAAAGCCTTTCACAGGATGATACCACAGTGCAGACAGATTCCAGCTACTCTCTCAAGAGCAAGAAAACCCTCCATTATAATTTTTGCCTTGCCTCTAAATCAAAAAGATTCAATCAATATTTTTCAAAATGTAAAAATACATCTAAAGTATTTATTCAAGCTACTTTAAGTTTTAGCAATTCACCACTGGAGTGGGAAGTGCTCTAATAAATTGATTTGTTATGAAGATATCAACAGACCCTGAACTATAGTAATACAGCATTATGCTAGTGAGAGATTACATTATTTTTTTACATGCACGGACATTGCAAAGGGGGTCAAAGTGGGATCATTCAGCTGAGAGCCATGATAAGCCACCCTCCTGCAATTCTGTGCAGTTCACCATATTAGGTGATTTATTTTTCTCATGTATCTGATCAGCAGGGAGGCTGAATCAGATTTTACATCTACAGTACTGGGGCAATGTCCAAATAAAAATCATATTTGAAAAATGCTTTTGCCTGTCACGTTAACACCACTTTAAATTATTCAGATGGAGTAAGTTGTGAAACTCTTAATTTTTAGCATTTCAGTCCATTTGGTCAGTGAAACAAGAGTTGTCTGCATCACTTTTTGGTTCTCATGATCACAATAATGTTGTTGTATTTGGATTTCTATACATATCAAGGTTTCTCTGTCTCTCTCTCACACACACACACACATACTATTATAGGTACAATTTTCAAAAGCACCTACATCCCATTGATTACAATCAATGGGCCAATTTAAGATTATAGTGTAGACATAGCCTAAGTCACTTGTTCACTTTTTAAAATGATACCCTCTGGGCCTATACATTGACAGGATTCCTTTTCAACAAAAAGGAAATTGGATAGCTATGAAATTTCAAATTGCAGTACAATGCAGCCATAAGCTTTCATCAACAGAGAACATAAATAAAGCCAAAGTTAATTCACTATTTGACCCTTAAATGGTCATTGCCAGCATCTCAATAATTGTTTTAATACAATAATTTGTGTTTCCCCTCCAATTCCATTATTCCCAAACAGCGTTTTCGTCTGCTGCTTGTCATTTTAAAAAGCTGACAAACACCCCAAGATAACTCATGGCAATTAATCTGAAATTCCAGGTTTATCAAACACATTATAACACTAGACAATGCGACTGGCTATAAATAAAGGTTAAAAATGGGGAAAAAATACAATCAATCGTGGATATTAGAATAAAAAAACCAAAAGAGAAGGAACAGATGTAACACAAACGCAAGTCACCTAAGAAGGCAAATATGTTAATGCTGCATGGTTTAAATGATCACCGCCTTGTCAATTAAATGATTTAAGAAGACCAATGACAGGCCTAATTTGTTAAGTGCTGATTTTTGGGGACCTAAGGAAACAAAACAGTAATGGACAGTGGTGCTGTTTCTACCCGCTGCAATCCAGAACATTAACAGCAAGGGAGAGAAACCAAGTAGATACCACACCAAGACACACACAACAACAGGCAGAAATGGACTGGATGATTTAGAGGGTTAGAGAGAGAGAGAGAGAGCTAGCGAGAGACCTGTTAGTAGCTGAGTAGAGGCAGTTAAGGTGGAGGCACCAAGAAGGATAACACAAAACTTGTAAAAAGAAAAAGAAAAAAACAAACCTCCCCCAAAAAACTAGAGGCCTGGAAATTGTTTTAAAAAAGGAGAAGAGAAAACTTCTAAGGGATAGGACAGATTTTTTTTTTAAATTCAATCCGTATGTGCATATTTGTGTGTATCTTTTTGGCAGTGCAAGTCACACTCAAGCAGGCATGCAAGAGGTTAGTTCTACTCACTGTCGGAAGGTTTGCTATCACTTAGGAAAGGTTCCTGTTCCATGATGTCCATTGGAATTTTAATACTTGGGACATTTTCTGAGTAGGGGCAGTCGGACTGTGAAAGAAACGTGCAAAAGGTCTTAGAATATTGCCACTGCTCTCTCTCTCTTAGCGTCCCCCACATATTAAATTCATCCTTCACACAGCCACTGGCGGAGAGGAGTGAGAAAGGGAAAAAGGATCGTCCACCTCAGTTGTTTCCAGGCACTCAGCGGCCCTGACACACCATACTTCCCCTTCCCTTACTACAAAAGCAAGACAGATTAAAGACACACAGTGGAGCTTTTCACCTTCTGCCACTCCCCTTGTCCCCAATTTAAACTCTGCCCTGTGTCCAGCTCAAAGATGCCAGAGGGGCAACTGCCCCAAGCTGAATGGAACATACAGACGCATGCTGCATTCTTGAGGTGTGTGAAAACCCATCTGAAGTATCCCTCGGCTGCCATTTCTTTCTGAAATAGCTCAGGGGTGTTTCTTTTCCTCTGAAGTTTCTATAACTGAGATGGGCAGAGTCCCACTGCATCCTGTCAGGTGGGCTTTTTTATCCCCCCCTTCAAAAAAATGACCAGTCCCAATTAAAATTCAAGTTACATTTAATTTAGTTCCCTACTTCCACTCTCCATTTAAGACAGGTTTCAGAGTAGCAGCCCTGTTAGTCTGTATCTGCAAAAAGAAAAGGAGTACTTGTGGCACCTTAGAGGCTAACACATTTATTTGAGCATAAGCTTTCGTGAGCTACAGCTCACTTCATCGGATGCATGTAACTGTAGCTCACGAAAGCTTATGCTCAAATAAATGTGTTAGTCTCTAAGGTGCCACAAGTCCTCCTTTTCTCCATTTTAAAGGCTTTTATAATCCAACAGAACCATGACGAAGCAATTAGCATCATCAGGCAGCACTCTGAGGTATTTTCAGTTCAGAGAGGGGTTGCCAGTACTTTAGCAAGTAAGTCCCACATGTTTGCTCCCTGAGGGCCCTTAATGGGCTTTGGCCCAGACCCTTAGCAACTGATAAACACCATGTTCCAGGAATTGTGTACCGACAGGAAGGGCTAGACTCTATTAATTTGGATTGCCTTTCAGGCAAACGCTTAAGCACATGCTTAAGTCCCATTGACTTCAGTGGAACTTAAAGAACATGCTTATAAGTTAAAAGCCTTGGTTACCCATTTAAATAAACACTTTCTCATAACGGAGGAAGGGCATACCAGCACCTGGGAAAGCAATTAATATTAAGTTGCACTTTGCTAGAAATGTTTAGACATTGTTGCTGAAAAGATATAGGTCCTGCATTGACGGACCCGGCCAAACATTTGCTCTTCAGAAATATTTTTGTGAGCTTCAGGGATGGCTTAACAGCAAACGTCCAGAGAGGTAGTGAAGCCATCACAAATTACCCGATAGCCCCCTCCAACAAAACACAGTTTCCAGGCAAACGAATATAATAAATGTGATGAAAATGCTGACACTAGAGGTTCTTCTTTATACATTACCATCTGCAAGAACAGAGATCTCAAATCTCAATATGCAAAAAAGGAAAAGCATTAAAGGTTTTGCATCTTCAGCATTTGGCAGCTCTGACAAGGTTACTAAATGTGAATCCTGATCTAAACATAGTGGCCCAAAATTTTTTAAGAGTTACTAGTAATGTTTGGGAGCCCAACTTGAAACACTTTCATGAGGTCTGACATTCAGAACATGCTCCGCTTCTGGCACGCCTTGAAGGTGTCTCATGATGGGCACCCAAAAATCACTAGACACTTCTGAAGGTGTAGGCTAGGGAACCAGGGATGGGATACCTGCATGTGCTTTGAGCTGTTCCCGCCTCTGCACCTAATTGCTAACAAATCCTGACTTAGAACTCATCAGGTCTTGCCTCGTTCATTCTCTCTAAGGCCATGTACATTATATATGCCCTAAAATGTCATCTTTGAACACCAGTTCACTGATACATTATACATAACCTGCCTTGTGCCATCTCCCAAGGGCAGGTGTATAGAATAAAAGAAAAAATACACCACCACATACTATCTGCAGGAATCCGGTTGCAATGAGTGCTGAAAAAATGTCCTAAGAAATGTTAACTAAAAGGAATGTTATGTAAGCCAGCCTCCCATACAACCAAATACTGTAAATGTCAATAACTAGATACACAACCACCACAACCACCCTGCACGCAGGTGTATTGCTATAATCATTGAAAGTGTTAGAAATCAATCCAGTAATTTCCTTTTAATCAGGCACAATGTGTCCAGCTCCCGTGCTGTATAGGGAATGTTGTTGGGCCTGGGGGCAATGTAGGACCTTCTGGGAATATTCTTAGCAGCTGTATGACATGGGCTGGTCCAATGGATCAACTGATTATGGATCCTAGAAGAAGCTTTGAAACTTGTGTCCTACGGGCTGACTGGTAGGATAATGGGGTGCACTGTACAAGTACCTGCATGGAATTTCTAGATTGAATGTGCAACTTGTGCCATTTTTTCACCTCTTTCTTCCCCTAGGAGGAATGGCAGCATTCCTCTTCAAGGGAGCATCCTTCTGCTCCCAGCTACAGTAGTCAGGCTCTTCACAGAGCATAGGAAGAAGTAACTCCACTAACACCAGCCGAAACTCTTCGCATCATTGTGCTGAAGTAGTTAAAGCCCCATTGTCATTCAGCTGGGGGTAAAGAGAGCCAACTCCCCCAGAGAGAGAGAGTGATTTAATAGACATGTGACCTCAAATTAAGCCTTGGTAGGGAAATGCTTTAAAGGCACAAGGACAATATTTTTGTTTAAGTGCATATGGAACCAAAAAAACCTGCATATGGAACCTGAAATGAAGTATTCTAAGGCACATGGATCAGGTCACAGCGCTTAAGAACAACATTTGCAGCTATGCTTCATTATTTTAATGCACACGACAATCAGAGATTAGAGCTCCGAGTAAATCACACTCTAGACAGCCACTTATCCTCTCTCAATTTTCAAGCCAGGATTACCAACCACAAACAAAAGACCTTGCAGAATGTGACTAAGCAAGTCACATCTTTGTGTGCTTTTAAAAATTGAATTAATTAATTAAAGAGCCATGGAATACTCCAAACAAGTGTGTTATTTTCACTGGTAGTGGAGCTGGTTGCCCAGAGCACGTACATCCTAAAGAGCAAAACAAAAGTGAAAGAGAGTCAGGGCATAAACAGACTGGGGGAAGAGAGAGCACTCAGAACACATAACATTTCAATAGACACGGAGTAGAATATGCATGTGGAAACGTGACTCTTCGTTCTCGGAAATGAAAGCGCCACCAGCGAAGGTTAGGGACATCTGAAAGATGACATGCTCAGGGCCAGGTGCCTGCAGCAGGTAAAGATCATGCTGAGTCTGAGTCAAACTAGGCAGGGAGGAGTCGCCACTGCACCCAGCCATGAGGAGGGAGTGCACCTAGGGACACCCAGTATTAACAAGCTAGAGTTTATTACTTTACAATTGCAGGAAGCTCCTTACATCGTCATTGTCACTATCCAGACTGCCCTTCTTCTTTTTCTTCTTCTTCTCATCCTCTTTCTTCTTCTTGTCCTTTTCTGGAATGACGTCGTCAAGGAAACTGAGGTCATGCTGGGAGAAGAGGTAGTCCATGGCTTTTCTGACCGCCACAAGTGCCAGGATCTGGTGGGACAGAAATTCAGCATTCCCGTATTTAAATGTTACCATTCCCCTTACTCAGGCAGCACATTACCTTTAGTCAGGGATATTGGCTTTACTCTGTGTATTCAATCTGACACTGTTCTTCTCCCCGGATGCCTGAGTGCTGTCTGCAAATTAACACATCGGAAATCTGATAGGCTACTGGAATAGCTCACGTCAGGTTGGACATCTAAACCCTGTAGCTGATTTGGACTCCAGGTTTCAATGTCTTAGGTGACCACAAGTCAGTGTAAACAGGAACAATATACAGGTTTACACTATAACCTGTCACAGGTAAGTTACAATTCTACCCTGAAAAATGACTTTGGAAAAGATGGCATTGAGTGGTTCCATGGTTACTGTGTTACAGTTATTTCTGTATTAAAAGGTGCTTAGGTTACAAGTAAACAGGGTTGATCTCTCTAGCTGCCAGTTCTTCAAACTCAACTTGGGAACTAAAAGTCTAGCTGGGTTCTTGCCTTCTTGTGAATCACCACCAGCAACTGAAGTTCTGCAGGCCAATCCAGGCTCTCAGTTACCCCTGTGCAGCCCCACTGCCTTTCAGGGGTTTGCACAGGTGTAACAAACCGGGGGTCTGTAACTGGAGTCCATTCAGATCTCTGCTTATTGTGCACACGAGGAAGAGAATCCAGCTCAGTCTCTCTCAGATGCCTTTGCTAAATGTTTTTACTGTTTTGTAAAGATATGGCTCTTAATATGCCAGCAGACCAGATATATTGATTTTAAAGGTATCTTTCTACATAGGAATGTTTCCACAGTGGAACCACAGTGAATGTTCTTAGAAGGAACAACGCTGATGCAGTTAACAGCATCAACAGAAGAGTAAACACGTCCCTTTATTTTTTTCTCTGTTTCTCTCTCTCTCCCTTTTTTAGATAAACCATACATTGTGCAACTACAGTTGGCTTTGATTCACCTATTAATTAAGCCTGAAATAAGGTAAGTTTAGCCCCGGTTTCATGACGAGCCATCCGGCATGAGCCTAGCTGAAATCTGAACTGTCTTTAAGCTGGAGGCTAGACTCTACGGAGTATAGATTAATGGAGGTATTGTTTCGGTCACAGTAGGTTTGGAATGAAACCCTCACCTCCAAGGGTTCTAGTTATACCAAAGAGAAAACGCATAATAGAGAAGGGCCTGAGCTGTGCTGTTTGGTTTTGCAGCCAAGCTCTTCCAAGGATCATGTGTTTGTGTAGGTGTGTCTTGTCTTCAGGTTTGGGGATTTGCTCTGACCCATTATAAAAGAGGGAAACTGCTGCAAAGCGTGCATTTGAATTCCCCCAAAGTGTGGGAGTGTTGGGGTTTCTGGTCTGTGGTGTTACCAGGTGCACTAGGTTCTTTTCTATGAGTAAAATACCATATAATAGCCGTATACGTTTACACAATGATATATTGGGTGAATAATGTGTCCTTCAACATTTACTCAACATTTTAGAATGAATCTGATGTAATATTGAAAAACAAAAAACACTTCCCCAAAGATGGAATGAGTAAATGAACCACTGTTAATTTTTATGACATACAGTTCCAAGAAAAGCCGACTTCTCATTCCTGATTTAGCCAATTAACTTTCTCAATTTCCCCATCCTGAGTTACAGCAGCACACAAGCAAAGGACACGGAGGACAGCTCTGCCCTCAAATTCCTTTGCTTTTGTCAGTTTGTGTTATTGAGAAGCACGGAAGAAGGCTTCTGTGCAGTATTTAATGTGAACTATCAAGGGAAAACAATGCATGTCTTACATGTGGACATAGCTCAGAGGGAGGGTGTGGGAAATCTGACTGTGGCAACAAAAATGGGTCAAAATTAATTGTGGTTTCCTGGAAAAAAAAATTAACTTTATGGACTCGTTTTCCCCAAAAGGATTTGCGAAAAAGCAGCCACTAACACAAAGAGTAGAGTGTTGATGTGTGATGGATGGAATGAGAAAAGTTCTTTGCTAAGTGTCTAGCAGCTTAGTGCTGTAATGTGTTTTGTGGGGTGGTTTAAGTAAAGGGAGCCTGAAATGAAGAAGAAACTCGACAGCTCCACTTACCATGACTGGGAATATTATAGCAGCCACAGTTGACTTGAGGATCCAGAGGAGGGCCAGACACACCACCTGCAGGAAAGTGAACAGGTGGACCCGGCGCAGCGGGACGTGACGCAGATAAATGAAGTCAGGCTGATGTTTCAGAGGCATCAGAAGCAGCTTCAGACGATCCATGAACTGAGCAGGAGAGGGAAGAAAAAATTAAATAATACAATATTCAGAGTAGCTGATACACAAAAAGGAGTGATAAAGCATTGTTGGCCCTTACTTTGTGAACCAATGGTGACCTGCTCTTCTTGCAAAAACAACACACAACCAAACACCCTTGCCCCCTGTGGCTGAGTTCTTTCCCTTTTAAGTAACCTTTATGTTCTGCACAATGGGCAAAATTTTTAAACCTGGGTGCCTAAAGTTAGGCTCTTAATTTCTATTTAGCTGCCTAAATATGGATTTACTTGATTTTCAAAGGTGCTAAAAACCGGTAGCTCCCATGGATATCAATGGGATTTGTGGTTGCCCAGCACTTCTCAAAGTCAAGCCAGTTACATTAAGGTGCCTAAATATGGATTTAGGTGCCTAACATTAGGTTTGGAAATGTTGGACAGTGTATAACATGAGAGCCCCGGTGCAAGATCCTTAGCTGGTGCAAAGGGTATAGTTCTATAGGAATGGCATCGATTGCCAGCAGCTGAGGACCTGACTCTGTCAAAAACAAACCAGACTGAGGAGTTGGTAAGAGGGGAAGTGCCTCTAGCCCTACTGGAAGAGACAGGTTGGAGTGAATCCCCAGCCAGGATTTCCTATCACTCAGAAGTTGTCCTTGGACAGCTGAAAAACAAACATTTTGTAGCACACTGGTCACCTGGGCCAGAGCACTGAGAAATTCTGCTTGGAAGAACCAGGGGTAGTGAATATTACAATCGACTGCTTGTCCCTTGCCAGAGCACTGGCCTCTTGCCCACTTCTGGCTGATTCTGAAACCAGATTCATCTTAATCTAGGGGGTGAAAGACAGGGCCATTTTTAAAATAAATTCTGATGGCATCCACAGAACATGTAGTCTTTTCCCATTAAAATACTGCTAAGTGGAAAAGAAGTTTGCAATTAGCAGGTGATAGAAAGTAACAAAACCACTTCCAGCTTCCTAATGCCAATTAAAGTGGCTGCCCTGGGAGAAAGGCTCCCTTACGTAACGTTTCCTCAATAACAAAGAAAGGGCGTTCGGCTTTGCTCAGTTATTCCCACCAGTTCATGCTGGAGAATAATACCACCTCAATAAATCCTGTTAACTTGATTCTCTAATGCAAAGCAGCAGGCCCAGTTACAGGCCTGAGCCATCTAAGAAGCAGGACTACGGCAAGTGAACAAGCACTGTTCTCAGTATTCGTCAGTAAGTGGCCAGAGAGATGGTTTTAAATCACGCTCGGAGAACACACTTAAAAGGTTACAATTGCTTCTTGTGGCATTGCCTTGGCTCAGAAGGCCGGAACTTGGTGCTCTCCTGTGGAAAGGTTGCTTTTATTTGATATCATCTACAACACAATATTTGTGAAGCCTTGGTAAGAGCCTTTGGAATGAAAATGAGGTGGAGGAGGAGGGAAAGGGTGAGTAGTTAAAACAAGAGCAATGGTTAATGATTGCCATCCTCTTGACAAGGTCCTTTAAAGAATCTACCCTTAAATATCAGAGTGGTTTGGTTGCTATGGGAACTTACCTGCACTCCATTAAGGGAAGCGACACCCATGTAGAGGAACACTCCATAGAGCACAGGCATAGGAATAAACTAGGGGAAGGAAAAGAGTGGTGAAAAAACTACAGTGAATAACCTCAATCAATCACCTAGTTGGTACAGAGAGAGTAACAGAATTCATATCCTGTGCTAACCCTGAACTTCATACGCATATGAGTAATGCCAAGTCATAGAAATTAGCAAGTTTTATCTGATGAAGTGAGCTGTGGCTCACGAAAGCTCATGCTCAAATAAATTGGTTAGTCTCTAAGGTGCCACAAGTACTCCTTTTCTTTTTGCGAATACAGACTAACACGGCTGTTCCTCTGAAACAAGTTTTATACTGTATTTTAGTGAACGGGAGAGCACTTGTTGTGTTAAAAATAAATAGCTAAAAGGCAGCTGTAATTACACTGGGAGAGAACAGGGCTCATACAACACAAAAATCTGCCCAGCAGAGAAGGGAAGTGAAGCCGGCCCAACCAGGAGGCAGAGTCAGGGGGTGGGAAACATGTTCCAATAAGGTTAAAAGTTTTTAAAAAGTTGTAAAATGAGCCTGTGTCCCTGCACTTGTTGGTTTTGAATAAGACTGAATGCAGAAATGCTGCCTCCCAAAAGGAAAGAGACTATATTCCCATCATATTGCCAGTCTCTGGAAAGAAAGGTTGTTTTCATAAGAGTTCCAAACCAGAGATTAGATAATGATGTGAACCAACCCTCTTATTCTTCGTCCAATCCTTGACCCACGTTAATTCATAACTACTCACGGGCTAACAATTGTGAGTCATCATCTCACTTGCCAAACCTGCCTTCCAAACACCACCACCACTTTGCACTCACATAAGTGGCAAGCCCAGCCCACCCGACACAACAGGCCCCTTTGCAATGGAATGGGTAATGTTTAGGCTGGATGCTGGGGAGCCAGACAGGGAGTGGGTCCCTCTGCATGGCTTGGAGGGATCAATGCTAGAGGAGCCACCTTTGTAGCTATCCCGCTCCCTGCAATATAGGCTATTTCAACCTGCCCTGCATCTGCCAAGTTCCCAGCCCAGCTGCTTGGTCAGGCTCTACCTTTAATTGAAAGGTCTCAAAGTGCTTTATAAATATTCATTGATTAGTACAAACTCAATACCCTTCCCAGGCAGGTGATACATAGGGATCACTTCACCCCCCATTGAACGCAATCCCCCTAGCATGGGATGGGAGCTGTTTCAAAGCACTGAACCACACTACAACAGATGGCTGTGCATGGGAAATTGTTTTTTTTTTTTAAATCTGGCACTCCAACTGCAGACAAAAAGCCTTTATCAGCAGCAAAATAACCGCCCAGCTTGCCAAAAATGAAAGAGTCCCTCAGCTGAGCAGCAAAGTTATTTGTAATAAACATGACATGTTGTTAATCAAAATATCAGATGATGGTCCAAATACAAGATGGGCTTGAAATCCTTAATATAACTTCTTTGACACCAAGCAAAAGAGCAGTTCCTGCATCAGTCCCCCTGCGGTGAGAAAAGCAGTCAGTGTAATGACTCGCAACCACCACTGCAGGGCAGGCACTGCACATCCAATGCCTCTCTGAACTTCAAAAAAAAAAAAAAAAGGAGGACTTCTGGCACCTTAGAGACTAACCAATTTATCTGAGCCTAAGCTTTCGTGAGCTACGGCTCACTTCATCACTGAACTAAGAGTACATTCCATTTTTCTTTTGAGTGACGCATTTCTTTAACATCTTTAATGCACAAGTTTTGAGCAGGACAACAGAACTTTTTATTGTATTCCCACTACGTGATTACTCACCCTTTCCTAGGTTATAAACACAGTGGCATACAAGTACTTCTTCAGGCCTGGATCCTGCAAACACTTATGCACACATTTAACTTTGAAAAGAAAAATAGCTGTGCTGACGGCAATGGGCCTAAGTTAAGCATGCGCCTGAAGTTAAGCATGCATACGTTTGTGCAGGATCAAGGCCTTAATGAGGATGTGCTGCCCATTTCTCAACTGTGCCTCATTTCCCCACCAGCTTCTGCAAGTCTCTCTGCTGTACATTAATCCTTGTTGTGGCTTTGTTTGCAGCACTTGCTTCACTGAGTGGGACTCATTTATATTCCGTTTTAAAAGCTAAATGATTTTCCTGCAGCCTGCTTGCCACAACCTTCTGACAGTGCGCTGTAGGAAAGAAAAAAAATGTCTCACTTTATGTTGTTTGCATTACTGCGGCGTCCGAGGGATAAGACAAGACAATGTCTCCTGAAGCAAGATGGGTCGAAAGTTTGTGGAGATCTTAGTTCAGCTCTTAAGTTTTTCTGTGCTGTTTCTCTCGCTCTCTCTTTTTTTTTTTAAGTAAAAAGTATTTGAGTATCATTGCACTGTTGCAGGATAAACAGACACGTAACTCACTCCTCAGTGAAGTCAAGGTACAGTATCATGCTTAACCTAATCCAGTTGTGTAGGAAAAGTACAGTGCTTTAGTTCTGGAAGATTTCATGCTGGCAATGTATTCTCTGGGAAGGGAAGGGACTGCTAGCTGACAGACTCAAAGCAAACCTGTTGCTGGCCAACTAAAGAAAAAAAATGTATTTATAGGAAACTGCTTATCATTCTCTTAGCAGGAACTCAGATCTGCAGTTACTGAGTGGAAGAATCAGGGACATAAAAAAAACCCCAAACCTGCAGTTATTCATTTCACTGACTGTTTTATTGAATTTGGGCTTGTTAGTATTCAGTTTACTGTTGGCATCATAAGGTGTGTAGGTTTGACAAGGCATTCCACGAGGCAGTTCTTACAAGAGCAGAATCCACTGCTGAGTTTTGTTAAAGGTTCTGGAATTTTGCCAAGTAACTCCTACTGACCTTAATGGGAATCATACAGCTCTATCCCACAGACTTTACCCCATACGCGTCCTTCAGGCAAGTGTGTAAAATAGATCAGTGAACAGAGCAATCCTTGCTTAGAAATAAAAAAGCACAGCAAGGGAAGGGAACAGATTTCTGCAGGGAAAGGCCACAAAGTAACAACCAAATGCATCAAACTAAGCATGAAATTAAAGACGGGGAGGGGAGGAGGAGAAGAGTTAAGAAGAACCATGATGAGGAATTTACTACTTGTAAAACCAGCCACTGAAATCTAGAATAGGAAAGTTTTGATTATTTAAAAAAAAAAAAGATAAGATTCTTCTCTTCCCCTTCAAGGCACTTGGTACCACCTGCCCCTCCCCACATTCCTGCCCTCATCTCCACCCCAGGGTCACATCTTCCCCTTTGCTCACTCATGCCTTTCCATGACACTGCTCTCTGATTAATATACGTAAAGCTCTCATTTGCCTTCTCCCTTACAATACCTATCTGTTGCATCATTCAATTACTATGGCCCCTGCTGCTGTTTCTATAGCATAATGTATGTTACTGTTCTGCATTGCCCTCGATTGTGCCTTTAAACTCTAAATCCGCAGGGCTGGGGCGTGTTCCCCATTACTGCCTGTATCTTGGATGCTATAAATAAATAATCATCACCACAAAAGTCTAATATGCAAATAGAAGAGTTCCTGCACCAGAGATGTGTAACTAGCTTCCCTAGTGTTGTTCTGTGATCTAATGATGTATTAATGGTAACATATGTATGCAAATAAATCCCCGATCTCGAAAAACAGGCAAACATCTATGCTGTAGCAAACTGACAAAAACCCAAGGGGAATGAGTTTTAAAGAAAGAAGTCAGAGGCAGAGCTGATCAGTGCCTGGGCGGAACGCTACTGGCTGGCTATCAGGAAAAACAAGGAGATTAAGAAATTGCATTTCTATATCCTCCTCCTCATATGCACACACTTTGCATACTGCTCAGGTGGGCAGTATTTCTGAGGGATGGAAATATTACTGATTTAAGAGGAGAAAGCCTAGAAGTTCAGTTCTCTTGGTTGTTCTGTTCAAAGGCAAAGCAAGTTTTATGAACCTAGCATGGACCAGATGCGTGCTCTGACAACTGGACCTAATGGGCTTAAATCCAGGACCTACTGGAGTCAGTGAGAAAACTCCATTGACTTTAGTGGGGTCAGAATTTTACCCATGGAGTAGCTCTGTTAGCTCAGAGCAGCTGAACTTTATGGATTGCCAGGAATTCTTTATACTCTTCAACATCTATGTCATGTCTGCACTCTGAGTCGTAAACACACACCATGAGCTGGGTGCCAAATGTAAAATTCTCTACACTCATACGTGAGATCACTGAAAAGTTATTCATGGCAACTAACATCTACTACAAGAATTGGATTCCTCGGTACTAACAGGATGAACTAAAGGATTGTCTTATTTCGGATATGCTCATTGATTTCCTGGTACATACGATATGTGGATGCCCTGGATGCATGCATAAAGCACATCTCACACCATATCCATCCCTCTGATACATGCTGAAGAAACAATCCTCATTCTTCACCTGGCAGCCTCCTCCAAGACTATAAAGTGAAGTCACTCTGGGAAGTTTGGAAAGGGAATCAATCTGAAACTTTCTTTGTCACCCCCAAGCTGAGATAATCAATACCACAATCCTGCCGTTCCTTCACCTCCCATTGACTCAAGGTGCAAGGACCAGATTCAGTGGTATACTCTGACTTCTTTGTCCCACGCCAGTGATGCAAAGCAGTATGTAAATGGCTGTACAAATACACTTACATAATTTCAAATTTCTTTTTCTTGACTATACATTCATTGTAAACTGGTGTCTTCCATGGAGCAAATACATTGTGCTATCAACCATGCTTCCAGCATGGCTTCAACAAGCTCTCCTAGTTTGTCTGCAGTATATTTTGCATGAGCACATGTATCTGGCAGATGCATGAAACATATGAAGTAGAACAACAGTGCTGCACACAAACATTTAAAGCAACTCTTATATTAAAAGAAAACAAAAAAAAACAACCTTGAAATTTCTTGGCAACACTGTATCAACCTACAGATAAACTTTTTAGGAGGAAAAATCATGTATTTTAAGCTCTCACTAAATTATAAAACTACATCAATAATTCTCCCTAATCTCCTTTTCCATACTGCTATGATGACAGTCTTATCATACGAACAGTCTGTTATTGCAGTGTGGGCAGCTTCTTTATCTTTCAGTGTCCCAAGAAGAAAGAAAAGGGGGAAATTTAACATATTTACCTTCAAGATGGGAGCCATAAAGACTGACACACCAGTGAGAATGAATACAATGACTCCAGTGACTCTCTGCTCCCTGAAACCAAATCAGACAGTTACCGGACTAGCTCCTGCTTTCTCCTAGGTTTCATTCTCTGTTCAACTCTCCAAAAAAACCATAGACTCTAAAGATTAGGTTTTCAGGCCAGATTTTCAAAGGTGGGTGGCAATGGTATGGCCAGAAACATCATGCGCACAGGTTGAACATGCACACTGTTTGCTAATGCAAAAAAAACGTATTTGCATGTTTCTCCAAGTGCCTGATTTGTGGGTACAGCAGTTTGCACCCATCTTTGAAAATCTGGCTCCTTTGAAAATTGAGACTATTCCCAGAGTGTCATTTTTACTCAGATAGCTAAATAACAAACACATGACTGGCAAATCAGTAGGATGTTACAAATCAATATTAGGGGAACATGTTTGAAAATGTAATGTCACAAGCCATCAATGGGCAGGCTAAATTCTTTGTATGTGATTGGCAATTTGTCTTATATGCATATCAGTGATAAATCATTTGCTATGGACTCATTAGTTGGTGGCATATTTTGAATCCTCGTCTAAGAAGGAAACCACAGTTCTGTCTGCTGGTCAGCACAAGTACAGAAGGAAGTCATGCACTATTGGTCTGACTTTCTGTGGAAGTCTGAGCATCTGCACTTCTCATTGCCCTCAGAGGGAGCCAGGGTTGCTCAGCAAGTCTGAAAATACACTGGCAAACATTTTCGAGTATGTAAAATTAGGTACCTAAATTCACATTTAAGCACTTAAGTAAGTGGCCTGAATTTCAGATGCACAGCTCTCCTGCTGAAGTCACTTAAGACCACTCAGTTTGGGTACCTAAATATTGCATTAAATTACCCGATTAGGTAGAGCTGATTGCTTTAGGCACCCCAAGTTTGAATTTTTTGGCCACTGTATTTGATCATGTCTGTCTGTCTAATTTCCAATTACAAAATTATCTGTGATGACATTGTCCACTTTCCCATCCTCAGAAAGCCGGCTCTTATTACAGATCAGCTGTCAAAGCTAACTAGGAAAATTATCCACACTCCTCTGGGAGTTTTGTGGCCAAGTCTCCTAGTCAGCTTTGAAAAATCTCAGCCTACATATTTCACTCCCAAAGCAGTGAAAAACAATATATAACTTATTAAAAGTTTCAGTCTCTCTCTCTCTCACTCCCACACAAACGCAAGTTTTAAGACAACTTTTTTCCCTTTTAGGAAACAACCCTGGAGAGGGTCTACTCAATACAAACTTCTAAGTGAATAAAACCAATGAGGACTAAAAGAGTTCTAAGGAAATCTCAGCTGAGTTGAAAATGTGCTGTAAATCTGACATCTATTCCCGAGTGTCTCTGCCTTTGTCCTGTTTGGTGCTAGATCACTTACAGCATACACTGATCTTTGCATGCAAACAAGGCCACTTTTGGTTTGCCATACCTCACTCCCAGAAACTTGGGCTGTTCTCCAGGTGCTGAGGTCTCGGTCTCCATCTTCAAGCTATCGATGTGGGCAATGGAGATCACAGTAGCAGCAACGTACCAGGGCAGGGCCATGAAGGAACATATAATCATCAGAATAGCCACCCAAAACAAATCCAGATGATAGCCAGCACCTTTCTGTGGAGGGACACAGGCAACAAACGTTATAGCATTCAGCTAATCATCAAATGTTTGAGAACACCAGGACCTTCTCATAGTTCTAGATTGATGGTAATGGCACACAAATCATCTTGATCAGACGTTAGCAGAGTATGACCTGATGATCTTTAGAGGCTGAATTATCAATGTAGCTGCTGCACACAGGTATATATTACAGTGGTGGGTGACTTAACAAATAAAGGGGGTAGGCAGCCTTGTGAGCAATTTCGGAAGAGATCAAAATTGCAGAAAGTCCACCAGTAATTAATTGATCACCGTATTTACAAAACATGCATATATACTATACGCAGGAAGGGGTGAAATTGATGGAGTTCAAGCCCACCCACCAGCAAAGTAACTCCATACAAAGGGTATTAGTCAAATCAAACTATGGGCTGAGAACAGCTGCAGAAAGCGGCAAAAATTAGACTGGATGTACACTGAATCTTGGCAGGAATTTAAACGATCCAAACAATATTATATTCAAGTACTAAAAATATATGTATTTCCTGGGTATAATCTTGCAGGGTATTTCAACGCTGCTCTAGACTGCCCATTCTTTCACTTGGTAATGCGCCCTTTTAAAAAACAACCCCCCAAACACACCATTGTACAGTGCTATTTTTATAGTTAACTGTGACCCTTACTTTATGAGCTATTGTGTTGACAAGGAAATCACATGCCCAAGACTCCTGCAAAATTATCTGTAATGACATTGTCCACTTTCCCATCCTTAGAAATCCTGCTCTTAACAATCACATGTCCAAGACCCCTACAAAATTGCAGCAGAGTCTTAGAAAACAGAACAGTCCATTTGCACCCCATGAGATTGTTATGGCAACAAGAGAACTCAGAAAGTGCGGGGGGGGGGCATGGTGCAACTACCTAAAAAGCAAGACAGTGGTTTACAAGGGAGAGTTAGCGGTTATCCTCAAACCCAGTTACAACAGGGCGTTTCTCTAGACACAGCAGAAGGCCAAGACTTATATCCTGCTTGTGCATATGGGTCTAGTCCAGGGGTGGACAAACTTTTCGGTCTGAGGGCCACATCAGGGTTCCGAAACTATATGGAGGACCAGGTAGGGAAGGCTGTGCCTCCCCAAACAGCCTGGCCCCCACCCCCTATCCAACCCCTCCCACTTCCCGCCCCCTGACTGCCCCCCTCAGAACTCCCGAACCATCCAACCCACCCCTGCTCCTTGTCCCCTGACCGCCCCCTCCTGGGACCCCCCACCCCTGACTGTCCCCCAGGGACCCCACCCTCTAACCAACCCCCACTGCTCCCTGTCTGCCCCAACCTCTATCCACACCCCCACCCCCTGACAGGGCCCCCGGGACTCCCATGCCTATCCAACCCACCCGTTCCCCATCCCCTGACCACCCCCTCCACAGAATCTCCGCCCCTGACTGCCCCCTGGGACTCCCAAGCCTATCCAACCCCCCCGTTCCCCATCCCCTGACCACCACCCCCCCCCCCGAACCTTCACCCAATCCAACCCTGTCCCCTGACTGTCCCCCAGGACCTCCTGCCCCTTATCCAACCCCCCTGCTCTCTCCCCCTTACCATGCCGCTCAGAGCAGCAGGACTGGCAGCCGCGCCGCCCAGCCAGAGCCAGCCCTGCCACCGCACTGCCTGGTAGGAGCTCACAGCCCAGCTGCCCAGAGCGCTGGTGGCACGGTGAGCTGAGGCTGCGGGGGAGGGGGTACACCAGGGGAGGGGCCGGGGGCTAGCCTCCCCGGTCAGGAGCTCAAGGACCGGGCAGGACAGTCCTGCGGGCTGTAGTTTGCCCACCTCTGGTCTAGTCATCATCACAGAGAACACATTTACAGGAAAGCCTCAGTACAACGTCAATTAGCATGAAGGTGAATGCAATGCTGAACAAATATCTGCAGAAATGAAATGACTCGTTACTTGGAAATCCGTCATAGAAACGAAGGCCCCAAATCATCCTCTGGCTGAATACATGACATGCATTTTCTTCTTCTTGGGCTCTTGTGGTCTGATTTACAAAGCATCTACAATGCCCATTTGTGGAGGCTCAGCACTTTTGAAAGTCAGGCTGTAGTTCTTTAGGAAGGAGACAGTTATTCATAATACAAATTCCATACACCCATCCACACAATGCAAGCCCTTACTCCTTGCAAAGATCCTTTCATCTGATATTAACAACCATGACAGTGTCTTTTTCTGAAAAGTCACCCCCAGCTAGCTTAAGTGACACCCTGGACATCGCAAACCTTTAGAAACCCAGGGTAATAAATAAAACCTTAATAAAACCAGTCCCCAGCTTAACATTAGTTTTAAGAACCTATTGTGAAATAAGTATGAGCGTAATGACTTACTAAAGTCTACCTAACAGCACACTTGAACTAGAAGGGTTATCAAAGCCAAACAGTGCCAAAAGTCTATGTTTACCAACAGTTATCACACTGTGGTATCGTAGATCCTGTACTTAGAACAGGAAGCAAGTGCAGGATTTTAGTGACTGCAGTGGGAAAATACTGACTTCATAAATGGCCACCACGGTACTTTATTTTTATGAACCACCTCCAGATTTGTGTACTGTTGTTGAGATTTTCAAAGCAATCTAGGGGGGTCAATTAATTTTAAAGGGAGGATGGTGTCCAAATTCTCCAGGCTCCTTTAAAATCTCAATATGCGTTTTTCTGATAACTTGATGAAATTAGTTTGGAAATTGCTTGCTCTTTATGTATGCCAATAATTTGCTCAAGTTCAGACTAAAAAGGCTCCTTTTGAATCATACACACACTATACCCCTCCCCTCCCACCAATTAATAGAGGAGAACAGAAAAAAACTCCAAATCACTGAACCATAAGGGGTGAGACAGGAAAGGAGGGAGCATTTTTAAGAACAGGATCTATAAAATTTCATATTTTGAAGATTAGAGGTTTTAAGATCTGTTAAATTTGAGCTTTTTAGCAGTAACAGGTGAGTCAGACCTGCTGACTGATGTTCTACCTGGCAAGACCTGAATACTGTCCATTGTTTTCCTACTATGTGTACCACTTTGCCTTGGTTAACAGGCCAGCACAATTCAGTCTGCTAGCCAGTGATGCACTGCCAATATTGTAACAAGGCACACCCACGAAAACTGTCCCCACTTTCGCCTGCCAATAGATTTTGTGTACCAGGGCCACGTTTGCTGCCGAGGAGCAGAGAGGTACTACAAATCCATTCATTTTTTACCCCCATTTAAACAAAAACATGTTCTCATAACCACAACAAAGGAAGCAGGAAACACATTTTTACATTAAACAGCACTTTGGTCAAATGTTTATACTTTGTTACTGAAAAAAATAGACAGTGCGTTGCTAGTAAAGGAGCGTTCAGGTTGTATAAACTGAACTAACGTTGGCGTGGAGGTGTCGACTTTGCAGAGAGGGATGGTAGGAATTCTTTCCCAGCAGGTTTTGTTTTGTTTTTTTTTAAATACCTGCCTATTAGGTTCAATCTAGTCAAAAGCAAGAAAGAAAATTTAGCTCTTCAGAGATACTTGAATGAGACCCAGGGATGTCTCTCTAGCAGTAGCCAGAATGAGTGTCTCTGTCAGAGGCAGGGAGATTACCCCAACTTTCCCTTCGATTTGGTGGGAGGATTTTAATGAGCTCCGAGGAGAGACAGCCCCCACTCACCCACAGCACATCACTGCTAGTCATTATTTAAGTGGTAAACAACAATTTCACAGGGAAATGTACAGGAAACCAAGGAGCCTGAATGGCCAATACTGCTGAGACATTAGTCCTGAGGAGGAGATGGACACCACCAATAAAAGGATGCTGTTTTCAGTCATCCACTGCCTCCCTGAGGCTTACTCCTAATGGAAATAAAATGGCTAAATTTGTGAAGCAGCATAAATGCCGGGTTGGCGAGAAGAGACACTGTCTGAAATGGAGGCTATGGAAAGGAAGTTCACAATCCACCCAGCTGCACAGGGTGAGGGAATAAGCATATGGACACTGATTCTACCATTTGGTGGATCTTCCAGAAAACTGTACAATTCATGGCTGCACCCAGCCTCTATATTCACTTTCTTTTTATTATGTTCTTCTAATTAAGGTTAAAGAAAGGCTTTAACCTTTAGGAAGCTGTGTGCAGAATAATAATACAAGGATGGCCTGGAATACGATGAACTAAGACTGATGTTCACCTTGCTAAAGAAATAAGGAGTCCAGAGGTATATTTTATGCCAATCTCAGCAGTCAGCCAGCATTTCTTGATCCAGATCCCAAACAAAGGCCATCTTTTAATAAAAAACAAACCAAAAAAACCTTTCCCTTGTTATCCTAACCCACTCTTTCAGGTCAATTTCAGGTTGATCTTAAATCTTCATGTGTTGTGAAATAATGCCAATCGTTACCATATCATGGTAATTATATTATTTATTAGGTTCACACCTAAATAATGACCCCAATATAACCCTCATTATGAATCAGTCTTTATTCCTACATTCCAGCCCTTTTAAAATGCCTCCTGTCCTGCGGAAGGGAGAGTCCTTTTTACAGGAACTCAATATTATTCAATGGAATTCATCCTGCAGGGCAGGCAAAACTCTATAGGGCACAAGAAACTGTAAATGGCCAGTTCAGAGAGCTTATTTTAAAAATATCATTACATACCATATTGTGACTATATTAGTGACTACAAAGTTCTTCTTTAAAGAACATTCAAAAATGTGCATTTGAGGCCACCTTTCCTTATTGATTCTAATTATATAGTCTCTTCACTTTCTTTCCTTATAGTCTCCTTTGCAGTAAATATCAGCTGTCGCACTGGGATCTGCCTGTTGGCATTTCCAGTCAAAAGTGGATATACCCCATTATCTCATCACCCCGAAGTCTCCAAGGCCTAGGTTCTTAGTATCAGACAGTCAGACCAACACGCTGAGTTCATTCAGGTGTAACGGTTATACAAACAAACCTTGTTTTCCATATTGCTTAAAACTATCTATCAATGATTTCCTTGTATGATAACCATGCTATTAAATAGATATTAATAGGGGCTTGTCAAATCTACAGAAACTTTGCCCGTCTTGATAAGGCAAGAGAAACCCTGACCCTTATGCTGTAATAAAAATAAAACTGTCAAAGCAAAATCAGCTCCAGTCTAAGGTTCCAGCTTTAAGGATCCTTTTGCTTGAGAGAAAGGCAGGCTTTAGAAGGAACAAACCCCCCTCCACGTGAACCTATCAGCAAGCATAAGGTCAGTCGGCACAGTGGTATCCTCAACTCTATCCACTGGATTCTAATTACTGCTCAGTTAATTCACATCATCTTCCCATCTGAAATGGTCAGACGGTGGATGTCAGTGACAATAATTAGAGCTGTACAAAGGTATTTATACTGAATCTCGGACCTACCCATACTAAGCTGGTGTTCAGGGTTCAAGATGCTCCTCCAGCATGGTGGCAAGAGCATGCACAGCAGGAAAATCTGCACACCCAGCTCTGTCTCACTATCATACATGTTTCTAATGTGCCATAAGAACCTCCCTCAGCTGGCTTCCCTCTCAACAAACCCCAGAACACTCTGACTCCCTATTGTCATCGCCTGGTGGGCCCAGTGCCTCTCTCGGATGGGTCACCACTCCCTGATCTTGTAAGTACAGGGGGTGACAGAGGCCCACAGGGCAGAGCCAGTGTCCTGTCATCCCTTCAAACTCTAGGATTTACTAAGTTTTGTAGCGTAGAGGTCAGGATTTGACTTGACAACTAACCCCTGCCCTCTACCCATCTCACACACACACACACAGGGCCATGGGAAGAGGAAAAGAGTCCCTTCTTCCAGTGGCTGCTCCCCAAGAAAAGCAGCAGCAACCCAGAAAACTTAGTGTGGTACCTCGAGGACCCTAAGTCATTGCTTAGTTGCCACACACTAGACAGGGAAGTCCCAGTGGCTAAGGAAGTCTTAGGGGGCAATGTAGCTCTCTGGGCTGAGTGTAACAGCCACTCTGGGGGGGCAGGACTCTTTTCCTTTCCCGCTGCCCTGTGGGACAACAGGGTCAGGTTGTTTCTTGACCCCTGCATCACACGACTCTGGGAATTGGGGGGCGGGGGCAGAAGAGAGAAGGGGAAATTATAGCCCAGTCTGGCAGGTCCTTAAGATACAAGGTGGGGGTGCAGCCCCTCGACATCCCCTGAAGACACACGAAGAAAGCCAGCCACCATCACAAAGCAGCTTCTTCCTCTTAAAGACACAGCAACAGTAAAGAGGGGATGTCCCTGAGCTTCTCTGGGGAGGGAAAGTTGTTAATCAGTGGGGGCCAGAGAGGGCAGAGCTAGTCACGACTTTGATTAGCTTCCAACCCATGAGGGTCTGACCCCTGTGATGCAAGCAGCAGTTTAGAAACACCCTGGCGGACCACACCCTACAGGTTTCACAAATCTCTCATGCAGGGATCAGCATGGTGCTGGCTTCAATTTACTATCTGTATTTCTTGCTGGGAAAAAATAAAAGGAAAGCGAATTGGAAACCCAGGAAGGCAGCAGTGCAGCCATGCTGGCAGAAATCCTATCCTCCAAGGTGCCTCTTGATGTCACAGTCAGGAATGCTTCAGAAGGATGAATGGTAGATATTGGCAACGCTGGTTCAACCACGTTGTAGTCAGCCAACCCTCTGCCCGGGCTCAAGCCATAGTATCTTTGAGTCTCTTGCCCCAACTCCTGAGCAATCTTATTGTTCCTCGCAGGAGCCCAGCTCACTCCCAGCACCCTTTCAGAGCCCAAATTACAATCCCCTTGTTCCTAGCCCTTAGCTATGCTTCCCAGTACCCACCACAGGGCACTGGCTGGATGCAGCCCTCCAGAGCCTTCACTCATACCGAGCTTGTAGTGTCTGTCTGCCTCAAAGAGGGGGCTTGAAGGAAAAGATTAGCAACTGCCTCAGGCTGAGCATCCTTGTTACTGGAGCTCGCTAGCAGACTCTGGCAGCTACCCTGTTCCAGGGAAAACAAACCCCCATCTCTGCAGCCACTCAAACCATTTTAAGCCCCACTTCTCCAGATGGAGCAAGTTCTGCAAGTGTGCCTAACTGGCACCGCATGACTGCAGGAATGCTCATTAGCCTTTCCATCAGAGGGATGGTTTGGGTCCCATCACATATGTCTCAAAGGCTAAGTGGACACCATACTTCTATCCTGCATATTCAGATCAAATGAGATAATCAGATAAGGTCATGGAGGATAGATCCATCACTGGCTATTAGTCAAGACAGTGCATGACATAAAACCGTACTCCAGGTGTTCCTAAACCTCCAGCTGGCAGAAGCTGGGACTGGACAACAGCGGGTGGATCACTCAAGAGTCCTGATCTGTCCATTCTCTCTGAAGCATCTGGCACTGGCCACTACCAGAGACAGGATACTGGACTGGACAGACCACTGGTCTGACCCAGCACGGCCATTCTTATGTTCTTAAGCATTTTATTTTTCTTCTCCAGCATACAGGTTCTGGAAAAATCCCACAATTTTAACTGGCTTAGTGGAAAACCCAGGAGCGGCAAGTGAAAAAGGAGCAGCAGTAGTAGTACCCCTGCCCCAGCACCTGCTGGTGTGACGCACATATCTGAGTACCCTTCCTCCCCCTTTTCTCAAATCACGGCGTCCTCAGACTGAAAAATCTTTCCGTGATAAAAGACCTTTTTTGATCCTTCACCGGACAAGGAATTGAAAACTCAGCTGAGACCAGCTCTGTTAGAAATTACTACTATTCCCCCAAGCTCTTGGCTGAGCTCCAAGCCAGTACGGGCTGGGGATTTAAGGACGTTCAGTTCCCGGTGGGAGGAAATGCTTTTTAATACTTCTGGCCAACTCAGGGACCAGTGCAGATAGATTCTGGAATGAGCTTTGTTTACCCTCCGCCACAGGAACTGTCTACCATAGACATCTAGTACTGCTGAGAGCACTACTGCAGATAGAGAGGCCAGTTCCAAGCAGTCAGTGCTGCCTTTTGTTAGTTAAAGATGAATTCGGAAAAGTTCTCACCTTATGTATCTGCCCTGTTCACCTGCACCTCACTTGCTGACCACGGGGACAGCAAACAACAGGTGGAAACAATGAAGCCATCTCCCCCAAAACTATGACCACTAAATCCAATGAGAAACACCTTTGCAACAGGGATGGCCAGCTTCCTGTGCTCTGCTGTTGTGCTCTATCTGCAGGACACACCAGAGTCCCCAGCCTAAGTTAAGAAGGGCATCCATGCAGGGAAAACCATTTTTCTTCTCACTGTTTTTCTCCTAAGTCCCCCTCTGTGTTGCTTTGTCATCTTTTCCTTTCATGCCATGGCAGTGGTGCTGAAAACCAATGAGATAGCACTAAGAGCAGAAGCCACAGGTGAGAATTATTGGAATAACTGATTCACATATGAAATCTAGTAACCTTTTTTTCCATTACTTGGAAGTTTGTTCGGTTAACAGTCCACTTCCTGCAGGGAGAGAGTCAGAGTATTTCAAGCCTCACTCAGGGCTGTTTGAAGATGTACCGTGTTCATGCTTGGGGAATCAAAGGTGGGTGTAAGCAAAAGTATCTGCTCACAGCATAAGGCTGCTCTAATTTGCAGTGATTAGAGCAGCTCCCTAGGGACCTCTTTGCAAGCCAAGCAGTAGGAGGAGTGCTGTGTGGATAAGCCATGCCCTGACAAGGCCCCTACTCCAATGGCGGGAGGAGTATGTGGCTGGCAATGATGATGCCAGCTTTATGCACTACAAGGATTCCCTGCACTGGGGCCTTTGGTGACGGCCAAGAATCTGGTCCTTGGGGTTTATTCCATCCTCACTCAGAAAGAACACCTACTGAAGTCAAAAGAAGTTGTGACAGAGTAAAAACATCAGGATCTGGCCCACCGTCTGTGTCCTTTGCTTTAACAAAAGTTGTTCGAGAAATACTATCGTTTTCAAGCTGAAGTGATGACTTTGCTTTCAAATCTGCAATAATAATCTGTGCTAGAACAAAATACATGCTATTACTAACCACCAATCATAGCATTTCTAAGGGAGCAGGTGTCCATTACCACCACAGGCTCTCTCTCCGTCTCTGTCATGCAGAGGACAGGCTCTACTTTGCTGCACTCATGCAAGGTACAAGGCACCCACCTTGAGCTTGTGCTCTTTCCTGTTGACAATGACGGCTGTGATTTGCTGGTCCATGAAGATGAGAATGGTCACCAGCAGTGCAGGGATGGCAGCTGCGAGGTACACCCACCAGGGATTCCCTCCAAAGGGTGGGACGAACCAGCCTCTTTGAGGGCTGGTTGGCTTCAAGAGCAAAGAGAGGAAAACAGGCATCAGAGTGGAGACATATTAACGAACAACCCCCAACCAAAGCACGTTTATCCAGGTGACAAAAGGACCGAAACACTGATATGTCAAACTGACTAAAGCAAGATTACTGAGGACACTGACAATTTGGGATTAATTATTCCCATATACAAACATCAGCTAAAGTTCAAAACCTGGAAGTGGTTATTAGGGGTCAGATCCTGCCATCCTTGTTCAAGTAGTCCTGCTGGTCCAGATTGTGGAGCTTCTCTCTCACTCGTGAGCACATTCAAGCATTGAAAGCAGTGAAACTACATGGGCGAGTGAAGGCTCACCAGTGTGAGTAAGCACAATACAGTTTGGCCCATTGAAATTATGGAGTAAGGTGCTACTCCATGGCTGTGACCATGAGTTGGTTGAGTTCAGGATCCTGACACAGGGAAGAAAGGTAAGCAGCAGGATACGGACCCTGGACTTCAGGAAAGCAGACTTCGACTCCCTCAGGGAACGGATGGGTAGGATCCCCTGGGGGACTAACATGAAGGGGAAAGGAGTCCAGGAGAGCTGGCTGTATTTCAAGGAATCCCTGTTGAGGTTACAGGGACAAACCATCCCGATGTGTCAAAAGAATAGTAAATATGGCAGGCGACCAGCTTGGCTTAACGGTGAAATCCTAGCGGATCTAAAGCATAAAAAAAGAAACTTACAAGAAGTGGAAGGTTGGACATATGACCAGGGAAGAGTATAAAAATATTGCTCGGGCATGTAGGAATGAAATTAGGAGGGCCAAATCGCACCTGGAGCTGCAGCTAGCGAGAGATGTTAAGAGTAACAAGAAGGGTTTCTTCAGGTATGTTGGCAACAAGAAGAAAGCCAAGGAAAGCGTGGGCCCCTTCCTGAATGAGGGAAGCAACCTAGTGACACAGGATGTGGAAAAAGCTAATGTACTCAATGCTTTTTTTGCCTCTGTCTTCACGAACAAGGTCAGCTCCCAGACTGCTGTGCTGGGCATCACAACATGGGGAATAGATGGCCAGCCCTCTGTGGAGAAAGAGGTGGTTAGGGACTATTTAGAAAAGCTGGACGTGCACAAGTCCATGGGGCCGGACAAGTTGCATCCGAGAGTGCTAAAGGAACTGGCGGCTGTGATTGCAGAGCCATTGGCCATTATCTTTGAAAACTTGTGGCGAACGGGGGAAGTCCCGGATGACTGGAAAAAGGCTAATGTAGTGCCAATCTTTAAAAAAGGGAAGAAGGAGGATCCTGGGAACTACAGGCCAGTGAGCCTCACTTCAGTCCCCAAAAAAATCATGGAGCAGGTCCTCAAAGAATCAATCCTGAAGCACTTACATGAGAGGAAAGTGATCAGGAACAGTCAGCATGGATTCACCAAGGGAAGGTCATGCCTGACTAATCTAATCGCCTTCTGTGATGAGATTACTGGTTCTGTGGATGAAGGGAAAGCAGTGGATGTATTGTATCTTGACTTTAGCAAAGCTTTTGACATGGTCTCCCACAGTATTCTTGTCAGCAAGTTAAAGAAGTATGGGCTGGATGAATGCACTATAAGGTGGGTAGAAAGTTGGCTAGACTGTCGGGCTCAACGGGTAGTGATCAATGGCTCCATGTCTAGTTGGCAGCCGGTGTCAAGTGGAGTGCCCCAGGGGTCGGTCCTGGGGCCGGTTTTGTTCAATATCTTCATAAATGATCTGGAGGATGGTGTGGATTGCACTCTCAGCAAATTTGCGGATGATACTAAACTGGGAGGAGTGGTAGATACGCTGGAGGACAGGGATAGGATACAGAGGGACCTAGACAAATTGGAGGATTGGGCCAAAAGAAATCTGATGAGGTTCAATAAGGATAAGTGCAGGGTCCTGCACTTAGGACGGAAGAACCCAATGCACAGCTACAGACTAGGGACCGAATGGCTAGGCAGCAGTTCTGCGGAAAAGGACCTAGGGGTGACAGTGGACGAGAAGCTGGATATGAGTCAGCAGTATGCCCTTGTTGCCAAGAAGGCCAATGGCATTTTGGGATGTATAAGTAGGGGCATAGCGAGCAGATCGAGGGACGTGATCGTTCCCCTCTATTCGACATTGGTGAGGCCTCATCTGGAGTACTGTGTCCAGTTTTGGGCCCCACACTACAAGAAGGATGTGGATAAATTGGAGAGAGTCCAGCGAAGGGCAACAAAAATGATTAGGGGTCTGGAACACATCACTTATGAGGAGAGGCTGAGAGAACTGGGATTGTTTAGTCTGCGGAAGAGAAGAATGAGGGGGGATTTGATAGCTGCTTTCAACTACCTGAGAGGTGGTTCCAGAGAAGATGGTTCTAGACTATTCTCAGTGGTGGAAGAGGACAGGACAAGGAGTAATGGTCTCAAGTTGCAGTGGGGGAGGTTTAGGTTGGATATTAGGAAAAACTTTTTCACTAGGAGGGTGGTGAAACACTGGAATACGTTGCCTAGGGAGGTGGTGGAATCTCCTTCCTTAGAAGTTTTTAAGGTCAGGCTTGACAAAGCCCTGGCTGGGATGATTTAAGTGTGGATGGGTCCTGCTTTTGAGCAGGGGGTGGACTAGATGACCTCCTGAGGTCCCTTCCAACCCTGATATTCTATGATTCTACTGAGCATGAGCAAGGTTGGCAGGATCCTGCTCTACATTCAGGATCTGTCATTGCATTTTAGAAAACGTTTCAGTCAATTGACATGGTGTTAATGGGAACGACATAAATTTGCACTTCTAAATAAACTGCTTTCTAACTGGCTCAGCAATACAATCCTTTCTGGATAGCTTATTTTTTTATTATTGCTGGTCTGATGATTGGTAATTTCACAGAAGGAAGACAGAAACGGCAAAGTGCGACAGAAGCCACAGAGTAAAATAACGGTTGTGTGTTGAGAGATCACTTTTACCTACCTTGAATTCACTTGGCACAATTAGTTTTGGTGTATCCACACCTACTAGGGCATCTATTCCACAGAAAATCAGAATGGACAAGATAATGGCAAAGTCACTGATGAGCTTCCTGGCCTGAAACAGAAGGTGACACCATAACAGGGGCTGGTACCAAGAGCAACTGTTTAAATTCAACGTGATCCTCTTATTCTTGTATTTGGTGGCAATTCAGGGTAAACGTTTCCCTTTCTGCAGGGACAAAAGGGGCACAGTGCAGTGGCTGAAGTGATTTTAAAAAATGTGCTTTGGTACTCGATTACACAGTCTGAAAGCCGAACGATTAGAAGAACAACCCCGAGGGAAAGGAACTTCTGTTGCAGAATACTCCCACAAAAATTCTCCCATGCAGTTTTACTGATAATCCACGTCGGCTAACAATCCCCACTATCCAGACCCAGTTTCCCATAGGAATGGTTTCTGAAAAGCTGTGATACAATTCCATCAAGAAAAACGGGCCTCTTATTAAAACAAGAGGCATCTTAAGTAAGATGAGAAGTGTCTGGAAGAAGAGGTGGTGGGAGGAGATTTTGATCACAGATCTCTGAATAGCTCTCCAAATGAGACGCAAGATAGTTACGGAGATGAATAAGGGTGTCTGCGGCCATAGTAAGATTTTTAGTGGTACACTGTTGGGATTTGCATAATGACAGGTTTCAGAGGAACAGCCGTGTTAGTCTGTATTTGCAAAAAGAAAAGGAGGACTTGTGGCACCTTAGAGAGCTGTAGCTCACGAAAGCTCATGCTCAAATAAATTGGTTAGTCTCTAAGGTGCCACAAGTACTCCTTCACTGTTGGGATTGTTTGTCAGCTGTCAGGGTTATTTGTCAGCTGTCAATATTAGATGCAAGACAGTGGCTGGGATGAATAAGGATGTTTGAGGATCTTTGGATGGTATATCTCTAGTGCTGTTTGTCAGTTTGTAAACAATGGTAAACTGCAGAAAGCCAATCATTTAAAGAAGGAAAAGTGCAACACTGTGTACGTTCTGCATGCCTGAATGAAATAAAGGAGCTGTGTCATCTTTAATGCAACATCTTAACTCCTGGTTCATGCTACCTGCCTTGTGTGGTATGGATCAATGCACAGCCCAAGCCTCAGAGTTAAAATTTAAGAACACAATCCTGCTTGAGGCACCTAACTGTTATGGCTCATGTGCATGGATTGCTGGGTAAAGAATAACCCTCCAGCAGAGAAAAAATGGATTTTCCGAGACAGACTCAGTTTACACCTGCAGCCACCCCCATCAGGGCTTCAATTAACCAGCCGCAGGTTTTGTCTAGACATTTGTCCGTCAGCATCTTCAGTTGCTGAGCAAGTTCTGTTACTTCAATGACCCCACAGTCCTATGGGCATTTTGTAAAGGTGCCAGTAAGCAGGCTGACAAGCCCATGTGTGCTGCAGGATAGACCACAATAATTTAAAGTACAGCTGTAGGCCCCAATTCAGGAAAGCACCTAAGCACTTGCTTAACTTTAAGCAGAGAAAAATTGAGTAGGGATGCTTTCCTGAATTGGGGTCGTAAGGATTAAAAAAAATCATCATCACAGGGTTTCATTTCTACTGTGTCTCAATAATTTTCTGTATCAAGCATGCTCTGTCTACAAGTGAAGGAAGGTGTCAGGGAAGAAAGGAGAGAGAGGAAATTCTCTCATTCTTGAGTGCAACAGTGTTACAAATACCATTACCAGAACATGTTAAAACCACCTTCAGGAAAAGGCAGTTACCTTTTCCATAACTGGCGTTGACCCTGACCATCTTGCCCCGCAGGTGCGAGCAGAAGGCCACACACGCCAGGCATACTGCCCTGAGTTCCTTGACGTTTATGTGTAGGTTCAGATCCTGCATCGACCACAGACCTTGTGTCTGAACATTCCCCACATAGGCCCCCCCAACCCAGGTCCAACGCATCGGACACCAGCTCCTGCGATGGGGTCCTGTCCCAGAACGGGACCCTTGGAGCATGTTGCTTGGGGTGGACCACCACTACAGTGAGGCGATCACCGAGTCGGGCACGGTGAGGACCTTGTCCATCCTGTCCCTGGCCTGGGAGAACTTCAAGGCCAGCCAGAGCTGGAGGGGCCTCATTCGGAGTCTGGCGTGGCGGACCACGCATGTGCACACCGACATGTGACCCAAGAGCCGGAGGCACGCTCTGGCCGTAGTCACCGGGAACCTTGTAACTGTGTCGATGAGCCCTTTCAGGGTCTTGAACCTGTCCAGTGGGAGGGAGGCTGTGGCAGTCGAAGCATCCAGGAGCGCCTCGATAAACTCTATGTGTTGGACCGGGACTAACGTGGGCTTGGCGTCGTTTACCAACAGGTCCAGGGTGGCACATGTGGACAGCAGAAGCATCACGTGATCCCTCACCTGTGACTGGGAGCTGCCCTTGATCAGCCAATCGTCCAGATAAGGAAAGATCTGGACCCCCCGGTGCCTGAGGGAGGCCGCTACCACCAACATTCATTTTGTAAATACCCGGGGGGCAATGGATAGGCCAAACGAGAGGACCATAAACTGGTAGTGATTCTGCCCCACCAGGAAACAGAGGAAGCGTCTGTGCCCCTCGAATATGTGAATGTGGAAGTACGCGTCCTGCAGATCGAGGGCAGCGTACCAGTCCCCGTGGTCCAGGGAGGGGATGATGGAGGCCAGTGAGACCATGTGGAACTTAAGCTTCACCATGAACTGGTGTAGATCCCGCAAGTCCAGGATGGGCCTGAGTCCCCCTTTGGCCTTCGGGATATGGAAATAGCAGGAATAGAACCCTTTGCCTTTGAACTCCCCAGGCATCGTTTCCACTGCTCCTAGACTCAGGAGCCGCTCCTCTTCCTGCTCAAGCAGGGCTTCATGTGAGGGGTCCCCCAAGATGGACAGGAGCGGGGGCAAAGTAAACTGGAGGGCGAAGCCCTGGGAGATGGTGTTGAGGACCCATCAGTCTGAGGTCAGCCGCAACCACTCCGGGAGGAAAGCACACAACCGACTGTAGAAGGGAAGCCCTATTGAGAGGGGATCCCCGGGGAGAACTGGCAGAGAACTCCGGAGCGTCCCGTCAAAACTGCCTTTTCCCCGCCTGTTTGCCCTTGGAGGACGCAGGCTGCGGGGCTGGCCGCGATTGCCTCTGAGGGCACCTTTTATAGTCCCTCGACTTTTTATAGGTGGCCTCGTACTTCGGCTGCTGCGGTTTAAACTTAGATTTGGCCGGAGCCAGAAGATAGAGACCCAGAGTCCGGAGGGTCGTGCGGGAGCCCTTCATGCCATGCAGCTTTGTATCCGTTTGTTCCGCAAACAGAGCTTTGCCGTCAAATGGGAGATCCTGCATGGCAGCTTGCGCTTCACTTGACAGCCCAGACAGCAGGAGCCACGACGCCCTTCTCATGGATGCCGCCAAGGCCATGGACCGTGCTGCTGTGTCCACTGCATCCGAAGCCGCTTGCAGCCTCTGTACCTTCCTCCACCAGCGCCTTGAACACTTTCTTATTGTGCTCCTGGAGGGAGTCCTCAAACTTGGGCAGGGAACTCCACAAATCGAATTTGTACCTGCCCAGGAGCGCCTGGTGGTTTGCCACCCACAACTGAAAACTCGAGGAAGAATAAAGCTTTCTCCCAAAAGAGTCCAACCTTCACGAATCTTTATTTTTCAGGGTAGGGGCTGGTTGGCCCTGCCACTCCCTATGGTTGACCGACTCGACCACTAGGGAGTTGGGTGCCGGGTGGGTGTAGAGGTACTCGTGCCCCGTGGCGGTTACAAAGTTGGAATGTTATAGCTAAAACTGACTGCTGACTATGATTCTTTCTAAATAAATGTGACATTTTGTCTTATCCCCTTTTATAAGATCCTGCTGGTTTTTATTTTATTGGTATAACAATATAGGTTTCTCCCAAACAGCGTAAACAGTATGCGGGCAGGTCACTCCTTGGCATAAAGCAGCTACAAGTGCCGCACGACTTAAAACCCGGGGCGCGGGGCACGCCCCAGCCCGGGCACTCTAACTGAACTAACTGAACAGCTAACTAACTACAGGTACTAACACTGAACGAACAAGCAGTTCTGGGACGAGCTACAGCAAAGCTGAAGCAGAGTAGTTCCGATGCACCTTCACTGGTGGCAAGAAGTAACTGAGGGTGGGGGGAGCGCGCGGCTCCCCTTATACTGCGCCATGGAGCACCACTCCAGGGGTCGCTGGGGCGCTCCCCCTCCGGGTACTGCTAGGAGAAAAACCTCTGGCACTGGTGCATGCGGTGAGCACACACACCTATTGTGGAATACACATAAGCAATCACTCGAAGAAGAACCGATCTTGGAAACAGGATGAACTAAAATGTTTCGGCTGACTTGCTACCAACCAGCATGGATGGGCCCGATCTTTGTTTGCGTGCATGTGCAAGAGAGGTGTGTGTGTGTAAAAGATACATCCTGTTCACACTGTCTTGTACAACCATATTACATTAAATGGGTTTCAAGATCACTCCCAGTATTGCCAATGAGGGTTCAAAAATTATGAGTCAGGTCTCTCCAAAATAATGAAATTTTAAACAAATAAATATTGGGCTCTTTTTATTTGCCTCCTGATGTTTGATGGTTTTTTTAGCATTCATGTTTTCAAGCTTTTCATTGCTCCCATTAGGGCTAGAAATGTACTCCCCCCCCCCCCCCCCATGAAAGTTGAGTTTCTCCTGTGATCATGTGTCTCAAGATAAAAATAAAGATATTTAGCAACACTGATTCCCGAAACAATTTTTTAACATAGCCTATTTGGCAAGGCAGATTGGGCCTTTAATATGAAACTATAAAAGCAAGGAAAAAAAAAAATCAAGATTTCACATCAGCAATGGAAACAGTCACCAAGGGACTCATATGGGGAGGTCAGAGAGAGGAACTCAAAAGAAAGGAGCAGAAAACTATTTCAATGTGGGTGTGGTGCCATGTACGGAAATGAAGAGTTTTTAAAATCATATCCTGATGTTTCTTTTTTATGGTGTTAAAGTAATAAATGAACCACAAAACTGAAGTGAAAAGCAATTGCGGGCAGATCCTCAACCTGTGTCAACTGTTGTAACTCCATTGAAGTCAACGTAGCTGTGACAGTTTTCAGTAGCTGAGGGTCTGACCCTTGAAATTTAACTAGCCAGATCACATTGGGCTTTTATATGCTATTGTGTCAACTTCTCAGAATTCTTCCTCCCAGGCTCCCCAGCTTCACATGGTTAGAGATAAACTGAACTACATTCCTGCCATGGTGGAATTTGTTTTCTTTTCATTAAAAATAATAAAAGTTCCACTTCAGTGCTGCAGGAGCATAAACATCACTGTACTATAAATCCTATTGCAGTCAGAATGCCACAGGGGGGTTCTCTGAGAGAGAGAGAAAAAGTTTTGTTATGTACAGAAACCTGAAACTAGTGCCCTTGTTTTTCAGGTTTTCGCTCGGATGAAATTAGGGTTGGATCTTGGGGATGGGGACCGCTGTTGTCCAAAATATTGCAAACTGGGTTCTCTAAGAGGGAAGGAGTAGAACTTTTTTCACCACCTCTCTCACCTTTGACAGCTGTCATTGTGACACTAGCTGGGCAAACAGAACAAGCAGCTTTTGCTGACCCACCAGGGCTATGTATCAGTTGGCTAAGAGTCTGTTGTCGGGAGAGAGGAGCTAAAAGGTGTGTTACTGAAACACCTCTATTCAGAGATCAAATATCTCCCTGTTTGCTTTCAGCATGAAGAGCAAGAGTCCCAATCTGCACTAAAACTTATTATATCTATTTGTGCATGGCTCGAGAAATCCACTTCATGTAGGAGGAGAAGGAATCTTTAGCTCAAAGACTGCAGAGCTCTGGGCATGTGCAGTCAACTTCTGCAGAACCAATGCTTCCTTTTTAAAATCGAAATTCAGTCCCTAGCCCTTTATGGTCACTAAGGAAACCTCCCAAATACAAACTGACAATAAATGAAGTAGTGCCGTTTTCCTAGGACAGCTGAGACAGCCCCAGTGCTGCTGCCGCTACTGTTAGAGGCCACCACTGCAAGAAGTAGGATGCCTTCTGGGAGCTGTCACATCTCCCTTGAAACAGCAAAGTGGCTGAAGACCAGCTGGGAATGGAGATTGAACTAGTCTCTCATCCCAAGTGAGTACTCAGATACACAGAAAAACCTAAACTGACTGTTCTAGGTAGAGAGAGACAAGGTGGGCGAGATACAGCTTTTAATCACCAACTTCTGTTGATTAGACAGAAGCACATTTGCATGGTGAGGAAGCTTGATGTCTCTCCTGTACCTGCCCATGCTGTGCCTGATCTACAGAGAGAGGACTTCAGTATCTAGGCTGTTAAGATGTAAAATATGGCCAAGAGCAAACACTGCTATGAGAACATTCGCTTTTTCATTCATGTTCGCTCATCTCTTTGCATATCGGTTGTTGTATTGTTTCTTCCTGTCTTATTCTCTAAGGGCCAGATTCTGCCATCTTTACACTGAGTAATATCTTACTCCTCAAGTCATAGCACTGATTCCACTAGAATTATTCAGGAAGTAAAGGTAGCAGAATCTGGTAAAAGCAGCCTAATCCAAAGCCTGTTTAAGTCAATGAAAAGATTCCCACTAATCAAGTCTGTTCTTAGATGAGACCCTAAAAGAGTCAATAGAATTTATGCTGTTAAATGCATACCATAAAATATACAGGAAATGCATCATGGCTGAGGTAACATTACTACTAAGACCATAACTTTTTAGTATTCTGACTTCTGAGCATTTAAAATTTGCAACCTTAATATTATGAGGTGTCAGTTTTTATATTCTAGACAGATTTATTTCTAGGGCATTAGGAGACACTGGACTACTTTTACTCTGTAAAAATAACTTCTTTTTGTACAGACAAGAAGTTGCTTACTTATGCTTTTGCTGCACCTGTGTGTCACTCGATAAAGTGATTTCTGTTTATACGTTCAGGCATACCACACAGAAGACTGTTTATCACCAGGTATCCAGTCTTGCAATGGGAGCAGGACTCAGCTTTACTATCAGGACACTGAAAATGATCTTTGGCTACTACTGGCAGCTCAGTTTTCTGTATAAACTAAGGGCTCTGCATTGGTGAATTCTTAACCCTGGAAGCAAAAGCTCTGATGAGATTTGTACTAATCAATTGCATCACTGCACCCCTCAGCTTGGAATTCTTGTCTGTGTAAGCGTTATTGTCACTACAGGCTCCAGCCAGTTTTCAATTCTTCCGCCAGCTCACTTGTGCCCTCCAGAAACGTTCGGAAGTTTAGAGCTGAAAAATAAGCAATTCCATGACTTGCCTAAATTCAATACTATTGGTTTTACTTCAACAAATAGCATCTGGTGTCAGTGCGTGCATCCCCACGTAGTGGTGTTTGTCCTTCGGCGCTGTATCTATTGCAAAAGAAGGGGTTGCAAACAAGAGTACATTGTATGTGCTCTTGTTTGAATAAGCCAATTCCCCCAGGTGATAAACAGAGATACTTACAGTGGTTGGGAAATAACGGCTGGTTTTGAATTTCTTCAGAGCCATGGAGCAGGTGTAGGTGCCAAAGAAGAGGATAAAAGACATGAGGGTGATGTCAGGGACGTAGTTGCAGTTGTTGCCCACAAGGTAGCCTCCATATTTCCAGCACTCCTCCTTTGTCAGAGATGACCAGGCGATCGTGTTATTGTACTAAAGAGCAAAGAAAATATCCCATGAAGCTGTGCTCTGGTATAAAGAACAGGAGGACTTGTGGCACCTTAGAGACTAACAAATTTATTTGAGCATAAGCTTTCGTGAGCTACAGCTCATAACTCTGCTCATCACTAAAATAGCAGCTGGAGCAGAGATCCCAGAACTACAATGCTATGGTCTGAGGATGAAAGTTTCTGCAGTGGTGTGGCTGTTTGGTAAGTGAATGTGAACTGGGCGGCAGAGCGGGTGCATGTGCACAAACAAAAGGCAAAGCTTGATTCCCTCTCAGATTCTGGAATTTAAAATGTAGGTCAGTGATACCTACCAACAATACAAACCTCTTCAGTGAGACCATCATTTCATCCCTGTTCCCTCCACTGGATATGGAGAACTGCCTCTGTCTCCACTGGCAGGGCCTCCCCAACCTGGCAATCATTGTCTAGCTTCCCTGTGGCTTGCCTGATCAAGTTGGAAACCAGATACAGAGTTCTGATGTGCAAGTGGAGCAGCTGGCCCAAGACCCAAACTTTACACTCAGATTTCACTTTTTCTAGTTCACCCCCTGCCCACACCACCTAATCAAAACCCATTCCTATCCGAGAAGGCACAACACACTGGCCTTCTAGCAGAAGAGACCCCATGCACCTCCTCAAAGTGGGTCCCAAGACTGCCTGATGTCACTTGACAGCAGGAGGCTTCCACTCTAGAGCCAGCTCTGGCAGTAGCAGTTCAGACCCCTCTGTAACGGAGTTATGAGCATCACCTCCACAAAGTTCTACCCAGACCACTAAAATATGAGAAGTATGGTGAGCTACTGATGCAAAGTCTGATTAATTCTGGGTAACGAGTAGCCCTCCTGGTGAACCAACACACTGGCCTTCACACATTCCTGGTTTTATGTTGAGAACAAAGCTCTAATTCAGTTCTGGGGTCCCTCTATATAGTTCATAGAAGCCCTCAGTTTAGCAGCGCGTGCAGAGCACAAAATGGCCAAAGAACACCAGACTCCACCGCAAAATGCACATCTCGGTAATCACATTAAATTGCAAGGGACAGAACAGCAAAACAATTCCCTTATCAGACTTCGTATTGGGCATCGTCAGGCAATCTGAGCCTTGTATTTCTTATGACTCCTTTTAACACTGCTGCATTTAGAACTGTTCAGAAAACTGTAGCTGCCAACGATAAAACTGCAACCTCCTTTGAGAAAAGGGGATGTATGATTTCACCAATTTTGATTTAATTACCATTGAAAAATTGAACATAAAAATAAGTTTGCGTAAATCTGGCCAAAAAAAAAAAAAAAAAAATCTATGGAATTATTCCCAAGTGGAGTTACCCAACACCTGACAGAAAAGTGTTCCTCCTATATCTATCCATCATACACACCCCGACGTTCAGCTCTGCTGTCTATTGTACCATACATAAAGACCCTGCATGGATTTAGTGGCAATATACAAGATACAGTTTGACTTTCCTTTTGGGGGCCATTAAAAAGGCACAGGAGTGGAACGTTTCTGGATTGAGTCTTAAGGCATTCACTGCAGTAATGTTGTAAAGCACCAGCTCACCTGGGACTCAGTACAACCCCTACTGAAAACAAATATTTCCACTGACTTCTGTGGGACTTGAATTGGGCCCTTATTTATAGTAGCACTGGGAAAGATTCTGCATGTGAGCAAATCTGAATTGCGTACACATGGATTCAAATATTTTAAACCAGATCATAACCCTGTAATTCCCAATAAGGAACACAATTTGTACTTAAAATTACATGATAGACCCCCTCATTTCCTTGTGCAGTTATGTCAGAAAATGATCTATTGCTTAATACTCAGCAGAGTTTATGGAGTTCTTGTCTCCTCTCCCTATGTATACATAATTCCCAGCAATGCCAGTGCGGTGAGAAGGAGAGAACAAATCTGAATGCATAAAGAATGAAGAATACGAAGTGTGTATGTGCATCATCAAAATAAACTTGTGAAAAACAGGTGTGGGCAGTTTAAAGGGACACTGCCCACTCAAAATACAGTGTTAAACAAAACTGAAGTCGTTTCAGGTAACTACACCTATCCCCGAACCTCCTGCCAGTTCTGGGGAGGAGTTTACAGTCACATTTTCCTATTTCAAACACGTTTTCTGCCTTATGCTGCAGAAAAACCCAAATGGAGGAAATGGACTATAACAGCAGAAGCAGCGAAATGAGCTATCTACGAAGTGCAGTCAAATGCACATAACCCACAAACAAGGAAAAAGAGAAGAAGACGATTCATCTGTTTCGTTACAGGAATCTTAGATGTTGCTTATTACTACGGTAGTCACAACCTTTTCAGACGGAAATCGGAGATACAATATGAAGGCATTCCCTTAAGCGACCACACAAGGAGTCGGGGGGCAGGGGTGGGGGGGGGGGGAATCAGTTACTTAGAAGTGGAATGCTGAACTAGTGAGCGGACAAAATTGTACTAGAAACCTTGGAGACACTTTAAAAGTACTAATTTAAGACCAGGAGATGCCTACTGTTGGAGGGTACACACACGTAACCACAGTGTGCGTTTGTTAGTATCTCATACACTTATATACATGTATCAATATACATCAGGCATGCAACTCAACAGTGGCCATGTATCAAATTGTGCTGGAAGGCTGCTTGTATTATATTGCAGCTTCCTCAGCAAATTTCACCAATCCAGAAAGTTGTAGTTGAACTGAGGTGTGATGTTGCTGACAATGATGGAGGGTGTGGGGAAGGGGGAAAACTATCAGTTTATCCACCTGACAAGGTGCCACCACATTTGCTCTCAGCATTTTCTCTCTCTGAAACACAAAGAAGCAAAAACGGGTTCCCTGTTAAAAGGATTTCTGCCTATCTGCCTGGACCGCTAACTTCAAGCCTGGAACAAAAGGCTAAGTGGGAGGATGTTTTCGGAGCAGGGAGATAAAGACAGAAGTAAGATTTTATGCCTGCCTCCCACATACTGATTTTGAATGTGTATTCCTGGAGGGTAAAACCACTAGGTCTTGGACGCCAATAGCTTCATAAATAAACAACTGTAGAGTGTTAATTGAATGTTTCAAAGAAAATGAGTGTTTGGGTCACCAGAAGCACAAGAGAAAAAGGGTTTCCTCGTGAGCCTTTTCCCCATTATCATGTCATTAAAATAAAACAAACACCCATCATCAGAAGCATTCGCCATGAACTAAACCATTCAAAAGGCAGCACATTTGAAACTGACAGGTACACTGAAGGGCTCTCTTCTCTGAAGTACCAGAGCCTGTTCATAGATTTAAAATAGATGAAAAGTTTTTGGACTACTTGATTGCACTGTCTTTACCCAAAGAATCACGTTTTATTACAGGTTTCAGAGTAGCAGCCGTGTTAGTCTGTATTTGCAAAAAGAAAAGGAGGACTTGTGGCACCTTAGAGACTAACCAATTTATTTGAGCATAAGCTTTCGTGAGCTACATGCATCCGATGAAGTGAGCTGTAGCTCACGAAAGCTTATGCTCAAATAAATTGGTTAGTCTCTAAGGTGCCACAAGTCCTCCTTTTCTTTTCTTTTCTTTTTTTTTTAATGTTTTATTACAGAGGTTTCCTTTTCCAGCTTTGAGATTAGACCGCAAGCACCAAGAGGGCAACACACGGACCAACAAGATGACCTTCCACAGTGGCTGGCTGTCAGTGGAAGTACACTGGTAAGGGTTCTTGCACCAGCGGATAAATTAGATATGCCATTTTCCGATACAAGTGGGATGTCAACTCCAAGAAGTACCCTGAAGCTCTCTCACTTTGTCACAGTACATTCAAAGATTCAGCACATTTGCTTCCCTGGGTAACTGTCTACAAGGATTTAGAATAGGACTGTTCTTCCCATTCTTAACATCATCATGTGCCCCTAACAATTTGTTTTGTTCTAAAACTATAAGGAACCTTAGTGCTTGAGGGAAAACACTGAGTTGGTCCTGGAGTTATTTCTCTACACTGGCACATGCAAGGGAACAGGTATTAATCCCTGGGTCCAGTGTCCAACTCCCCCTGGCTGGGAGTGCTACTTGTTCAGCTCCCATGGGGAGAGTGCGCCTGATGTCTCTCTCTCTGACTGATTCAGGAGGGATGCTCATCAGCTCTGAAGGGAGCACCATCCAGTCCTACTCAGTTGCAGGAAGGATGTTAGCATATGGGGCTTTAAGGGTGGAGGATATCCGGTGCTGTGGACCCTGTCCCACAGAAGAGCATCTGGAAATATGATCTGCTGGGTTATTTGCACCAGCTTCCTCTTCTGAACTGGGCTTTTTTTATATCTTCACCCCCCTAAATTAGTCGGTCACTTTCCCCTTATGCACTTTTCCAGCCTTTCCCTAAGCCTGAAAATCCAATGCAAACTCCACAAATAGCGAGAAGAGCTGTTCAGTTAATGAAACTGAAGTAGCAACTGGCATTCTTTTCCTGGCAGGCGGCCTCCAGAGCCTTGACAGGTAGTATTGTACTAGTGCTTGGGGCTGCTCATCACTTTTAAAAGCATCATTTACTATGAAGGGAAGCTGAACAATTAGGACCTAATTTTCAGTCCCAGTGAAAGAGCAGAACGCAGCTGCTGAAGTACTGCAGTGACTACACATAGGCACAGTAACAAAATCATAGAAGACGAAAAGGAGGCACCAGGAAGGCAGTGTAGTCCAGTGCACAGGGCAACTAGCTGGGAATCAGGAGACCTAGCTTCTATTCCTGGCTCTGCTATCAACCGGCTAGGTATCCTTGGGCAAGTCACTTGGACTCTGTCTCCTCCCTCCACACACCCTTTGTCTTGTCTATTTAGATTGTAAACACTTTAGGGCAGGGATTGTCTCTCACTATGTGTTTCTACAGTGCCTACCACAACAGAGCCTCAATTTCAGTTGAGGTCTCTCGGTGTTACTGTAATACAAACAAAATAATAATAATAAAGAAAATCCAGCCAGCAGCTTTGCATTCTTAGGTATAATTTTCTGTTTTAAACCCCAAGTTAGTCTTCATTCCGGAAAACCAAACCAAAGTTTGAAACCACCAAGTTCTATTTCTTTTCTCCTTCTCGTCCAAAAGTTTGCCTCCCGTGTGAGCTCTCTTGTACCCAAACTACAGCAAATTAAAGTTTGTAATGAGAGAACTAGTACAGTGGTCCAGGTTAACATCTTTAGAACTATAGCTCTGATCAGATCTGCATGGGAAGGTCCCTCCGGCGACAAGGAGTCCATTGACCTCATGGGCACAAGTGCTGACCTACACAGTCATAGAATCCTAGCAGATCAGGGTTGGAAGGGACCTCAGGAGGTCATCTAGTCCAACCCCCTGCTCAAAGCAGGACCAGCCCCAATCACAAGGATGGGGCCTACTGTTTGCAAGTAATTAACAATACTGCAGCATTAACATAGGGAACAGCATCATACTACCAATTAGGCAAAAGGTAACAACACTGTGAAGATATTAACGGCGTCCAAACTATTTCCATAGCACCATAGGAGAGCAAGGCATAAAGACACATCAAAGGCAACCTCCCTGCCCTAAAGTTTTTAAGATCTAAGATGGACAATAAACATACAACGGACAGGGAAGAGGGAAGTGACATGAAATCATGCAGTTCAAATTGTTTAAGTCTGCACACACCGTGTGAGTTCCACCAGCGTTTCAAATTTTTGGGGTATCCAGAATTATAATATATTTTGTAAAATTATGCACCTATACTCCTATGTCTGCACTGCTAGTGGCTGAAAAGGCTGCTGAAAGAAGTGAGTATCTCTGAGGGCAAACCACCTACCATAGGTGCACAAATGGCACTACACATAAGAGGAATACTTAAAATAAAATTCAGTTGTAAAGTACAGGATCCACGGCATCACAGTTATGGGAGAGAAAGTGAGATGGTAAGCTCACTTACACCTGTAACACCTTTTCCCATGCAAGGCCACGGTCACAAACAACAGGTTATACATCACATGTTCCCAAAGCAAGACTGGAAAAACAATGGAGGAGTAACTATCCAGTATGGGACTGTGGTTTGATTATTTTTAATAAAAGGAGGAATAACTCCCTCTCTGGCTCTTTGCAATGGGACTAGAACGTTGCTTAGAAACCACCCCTCTATTTTTAATCCATTTTTTGGAGAAAAAGCACCAGTAGTGCAGAGGTGTCAATCTATTCCAAACACATAATTGAACAGCACACTGAGGTTTTCAATGCCTGCTTTCCTGTAAGCCTCACTTACCTTCTCAGCAGGGGAACTGGTCAGCCAATCAATGGACGCTGCCGTTGTCTCATTCAATACTGAACCATTATCTGAAAGAGAAGACAGAAAACGAAGCATTGTGAACGTGGTGTTTAAACAGTTAAGAATGGGAACAAATTTAAGATGTTAAAAACTATGATAATTTATTAAAGTAGTAGCAAATAATATTTGCTGTCTTCTTAGCCCAAATGAATGCTTACAAATGACCCACAAGTCCCGAGGGCTTGCCTGCCTGCAACAGTTAGCTTGAGTTAGTTCACTCAGATTACTCCACTGGAGCTGCCTAGCTCAAATGAGAGCAACCAGATGGCAAAATGACACTGGAGGACACAGAATGATTTCATTAGCGTCTCAGAGTGACTGGATTAGCAGCTGATGAGTTGTTGTAACTCGAGCTCTTGCATCCCCACAGCATGAGAAGTTTGAGCATCAGCAGTACTCCAACTTCCACACCTCCCCCAGGCTCCCCCCACTGCCAGGACAGCTGAGCTTAAAGGACTCCTGAATCTGAGATACAAATTTGTGAGTGGGGACTGGACAGGCATCAAGTTAGGGGGAAAATTCAAGTCATAGCTTGCGCTAACATTGCAGTGAAGACATGGCCTAAAAAATATAGCATCACAAGAAACCTCAGTAACACTTCATAATTAAAACTGTACAACTGCTTGTGGCATTTACAGTAAAATAAAAAAAGTAATCACAGTGGATTACTTTGCTTTCACAGGACAAGACTATGGAGCTTCACTGGTATTTCATTGTAAACTCAGAATTCATAAATTCCCACTTGTTCCAAATTTAAACCTCGTGGCTACATGACATGATAAAACTGTTAAAGTCTAAAAAATAAATAAAGGAGCAGTCGATAATACCAGCCAGGAGCTTGGTAAAGAAACATACTCACACCTCTCACTGTGCCACAGACATACCCTACCCTATGAACTGTACCACTGTAGCATCATAAGTCAGTTGGGTTTTTAAGGTTCATTTAGACAGGGGATTGTGCCTTCCAAGCACGTTTCAGTGTTTTGCAAAACTCGAATAAATACTTTTATCATCAATAAGAATATTTCAATGACATTAAAATAGGGCATCGTATAAATTGTACTGCATTATAGAAACTAAACAGGTATGATTTTGTTTTATAGCACTATGAGAGCAAGGTGGACTATATAACTAAAGGGATATATTTACATTTAGAGAAGATTTCCAGTCCCACAACAAGTGGGTTATCCTCCTCCTACTTGCGAAATGTCATGTATTCTTGCCCTAAAATTTTACTCCAGATTTTGCAACCGGATTTCCATCAGGATCATATTTCATCCCTATTGATACAGGTCTGGCATGGAAACATGTTTGTATCTCAAATTCAAACCTATTTGGTAGTGGGGATGAAATGCAATCATGAAAAATATACCAATCAAGAAATGTGTAGTGAGGATTTGGGCATGAATACATGAAATATTTCCCTCCTTCAACAACAGCACTACAGAATATGCAGTAAATGCCTCTTCTAGCATTTTTTCGGGCACCACAGTTCCTTTTTCAGCATCTCCAATCATGTCAAAATCCTATGTGCAGACCTGACATACCAGGTAGAAGGTCTATTGCACAGAATAGTTTGTTCCCCCTGAGCAGAAACACACAAGAAGGTAGAGTTCAACAATTACCACTGCACTGTCACATCCTAAGATGAAGGCCAGCACTGATGGACTGCACTGAACTGAAACCAACAAGTTATAATCTTGTAAACCTGAAGTACGCTCCACCACTCAGAAACCTCTCCCCTTTTCACAGCACACACTCTTCATATCCACTCAGGCTTCATTCCTGAAGGACTTCACTACCTACCTGTTTGTTGTGCTCATCACTGTGGTACTGGGAAGCCTTACAAAAAATTTACAAAGCCAGCAACATCTAAAAGAAACATGTTGCATTTCTTTCCTCTACTCCCACCTATCCCTGAATACATAGCAATGGATTGTCTTTGCTCTGTTTCCTCCAGTGAGTCTCATCCAGCCCCACACTTCTTTCTTCCCCATTTCTTTCCCTGAGGCGGTAGTTATGGGGAAAAGCTATAGTCAAGAGATGGGTCTTACAATGAGTCTGGAACATGGTAAAATTCAAGCCTATTCTAATCTCTAGTAGCAGCTATGGGCTAACCACAGAGAAACCCCTATTTCCTGCTTTTGCCATTCTCACTTTCCCTGTTTATAGTTCTCTTGTTCCTGATGACTGCAGTTGTGGTACCAGTAAGACCACACTGTTATTGGAGAGATGTTGCTGGAGATAACTTGGACACAAGGCTATTGGGCCGTTGGAAGACCCAAACCAGGAGACTGAATTAAATCCAAATTTCTGTGGCAGTCAGTGCAGTCTGGAGCATGAGTGGTGGCGTTCATGTCTCCACGTAAGGCCTAAGGAAGCAGGCAGACACACGCTGAACTAGCTGGAGCCTCCTCAGAGCAGCCCTACTCATTCCCAGATTCAGGGCTTTGCAGTAATCAAGCAAGGAGGTCATGAGTAGCATAGGTGGGTTGTGTTCAGGGCTGCGTCTGTCAAGATGGAGTGCAGCTTCAGAGCTAGCCATAGAGGGAAGGAGCCTTTTTTTGCCCAGCAGCAGAGTCCAGAAGAGCAGTAAGGTTGAACATTGCCTCGACAATCAGGGGGAAGCACAGGAGCATCAAGGCCAGCCTGGCTTCCTTTCCTCCAGGAACTGAACAGGTTTTTTTTTTAAACACCACCTCCCGCTCTCCCCACAACCTGCCCACCCCCCAGATTACATGCTGGGGCACATTTTCTGTACAATATCCAGACTGGTCAAGTGAGAGGATCAAGCTCTTGAAGGGCAGTTCTCATGTACGGGGACATGCAGTGACTCCAAGGTACCAAAAATCGTGCAGACCATTTCAACAGCTTTGTTTTGGTTTAATGTGCGCCTTCTTCCTCCGTCCCCTAGAGCAAGGCCAATCATGCTTGCGGTGAGAGACATCTCTCTATCCTCCATTGTGAAGGTAGGCACGGTATGCCAATGTTTCAGTGCCACCATATGGGGGAAATTTCCACAGAAGAGACGTCACTTGCAGCATAATGCAGCCTGCTCACCTAAAACAAGTCCTTGTTTGGGACGTAGAGCACCCCCAAGAGCTACAGCCTGCCCAACATGTGAGCAGGCTCTGTGCCAACTGAACAGAGCACAGGCAGCCATGAGGCATCAGCTACGTGTGCTGAAGGCAGAACTCTAGGCTAAACATCAATCACCCCGTCAACTAACTAACAGGGGCAACTTAGTGAATGGGACCTACCGTTACTAGCTCCAAGTTGCGATAGTTTAAAAGGTGGGGGGTGGGGGCGGGGGGATTTAAGTGTAGGTAGAAGAGTACAGGGATGGTGAAGGAGAAAAGTCAATGACAATGAAACTCCCTGTTAGCTCTTTGCAGGAAACGCCCTGCCAAAAGGTCCGAGACACAATTCCACGGAAATCTTGTTCTGTGGCCTTCTGAAGCTGCCATGTGCAGAGCAGGATGTAATAACTTACAACGCAAACATAGCACTGGTTCAACAGCTCTGAAGCCAAATCTTAATTGCAACAAGAACAAAAACAACTGAAAGTATAAATCTCAGCATGAGCAAAGACCTCTCTCTCACCATCAGCTGAACTGACTACTTACAGAGTCAATAAAACCTTATCTGAACCTACTTTACAAAAACAAACCTCACAACACCACAGTCACTGGCAATTTATCACCCTTTTGTATTTTCACTCCCTGTAGGATTTGATATGTTCTATATGTATAGGAAAGTACACTGGGAAGAGATCACTTACTACGGAGTTACACAAAATCCCCTACAATTAGGAATCTCTTTTAGCTAATCTGCCATTTGTCTTTTTATTCCATCTTCTGATGCTTAAGGTAAAGGTTAGGGGGACTGAGTTTTTTGCTGACAAAACAAAGTATTTTAATAGGTGTCCTAGTCCTGCTTATGATACTTTCTGCCATGAGGCTTTATAGCCCTGAGATGTGTTATGAAGACACTGATAGTATCACCAGGATTCCAAGTTACTTTGGGCCAAAGTCTGATCCCCTTGCTCATGCTGAGTTGCACCTTCCTCCTTAGACTGAATTTGGAGGAACTTCCTGCAGAGTAAGGGCTGGTCTACATTGAAAACTTACATTGACAAAGCTGCATCGCTCACGGGTGTGAAAAATCCACTTACCTAACTCTCTGGATGAGTAAGAGAGGCGTAATCTGCTGCTTTGGGGCATGATTCACCATTGCCCTGCACCTTGTACAGTCATTGATACAGTGCAGAGTGGGTGTAAAATGCTACAAAATCATAATGGTAGCATATCACACCTATTTTGCGCTGGTATAGGTGACCACGCAAGGTGCAGGACAATAGAGTGTCAGACCTTTTACATTTAATGAGCCTAGTGGTACAGAGCGAATCCTATCACCATATACACATACGTTTTCAAAGTAAAGAAACAAACTAGATAAGCAAATGTCTAGATCTTCAAAAACCTGCATCCTGGCCCTTCCTGTTCTGCATGTCTCCTCTCAACAACAGCCTCGCTGTGGGTTTTCAGCTGCACTTCACCCATGACTGCACTGCTTTTCACTTTCACTTAGTATTAAAGATACTAAGCAGGAAGGTTTACAGTGACCTGGGGTTCATTTTTGCAATAGACAAAGGAACAGCAAAAGGGGTGCAAAGCTTAGGGAAACCACAAACGAAAGCCGAGACTGCATCAAGCGTTCCTTCAAACAAACTATTCATCTGTGACCATGCCACCTTTTGCCTTTGTAACCTACCCTTTCTGTGTTACATAAAGACTAAATAAGAGGATTAAACACCTTTCAGTGGTGTCATTTATGACAAATTTTAAAAGGAAGCAGACACGGATTAAAGACAGGACGATTATGGTGTTGTTTTAGCTGGTATTAGTAAGGCTGTCTAGAGGAAAATGCTGTCAGTAGCGGTTACAGAAGGGAACCATGAGCCAGGACTTGGGCTTGCTCCCTCCTCTGTTAATGACTAGCCAAGTAG